TGGGTAACGGACGAGACACAGGCTCGCTGTGTACAGAGCCAGCGTCTCTCTGGACAATTCTTCCCATCATCAGTGTGTAACATTTGTAAGCACACAATTTCATTTTTTAACAGTTTCCTGAGAAGCGTTTGAGTGTGGCTTCTGTCACGCAGGATCACGTGTCTGAGGTTCGCCCGTGCTGCTGCCTGGGTCAGCCGGCAGTTCCTTTGCATTGCTGACTGGTACTCCGGTGTCTGAATGGAACCCCTTTGTTCATTCATTCAGCTGCGGGGGGACATTTAGGTTCTTTCCAGTTGCGCTGCCATGCACATTTGCATAGAGGTTTCTGGTCTTTCTCCTGGACTGGGATTGCTGAATCACACGGTAAGTGTACGCGTAACTGCATTGGAAATTGCCCGATTGTTTTCCGAAGGAGCTGAACCATTTTGTTTTCCACCAGCGATTAGGGGAGTTCCAGTGACCCCTCATCCTCGTCAGCACGGCTCTGTCAGGTGGCCTTTTCCAGTCCTTCCACGCTCTCCCCTTCTCCTGTGGTAGACAGACTGCCTGCCTGTGATCTGTGGCAGCCCTTAGCGGGGGCTCCCTGCTCCTCCCTGCGACAGCGACCTCTAAAGGTATTGGTATAGGATCCCGACCTAGAACTGCTCTCGGCACCTCCCCCAGGCAGAGGGAGTCTTCCCCTCCTACCGAAATGAAGCCACAATGAGCCTTTACCTAGCCCCGGAAGGGACAGGGTTGCTGGCCCACTCCTAGTGGCTCAAGGCTTCTGCTCCTTTGGGGCAGGGGTCTGGAGAGGAGGACGGGGTCTGGCACTTTTCCCACAGCAGCAGCTGACCCTACTGGGCTGAGGGCGTCTCACTCCCACCTCCTGCCCTTCCCCACTCTCCCCTGAGCACCATAAATAAAAGCTCTCATTGTGTGTACACTCTCCCAGCCACTCCACCGGCAGGAGGCACACGCCTGGCCTGCAACAATGTGTTAAGATTATAGCTGACTTCTTACCCGCTCTTCACGAGGCCACGGCCACGGGTCCTCCCCCTCCCTCCCCAGCCCTGGCACAGGTGAGCCAGTCCGCATCCTCTCCTCCTTCCAATGCAGGCTACTCCGTTGCCAAGCGGCCTCCGTGCCGTGGCAAGCTGAAGAAAAGCGATGATTCTGTAGTATATCCAGGCTTTTCTCCTTGTTAGTGTGGGAGCGACACTCCGCAGCTTTCCGCATCCTGGGCGGCGGTAGAACCCTCTCACTGCGTTTCAAAACTGCCTCCTGCCTCATACCCCACACCGGTCGCAAGCTGATAGTGCGTTTTAGGTTGCGCACTTCCAGGTGCCAATTTTTGTTCAGGAATCTATTTGTCCTCTCAGCTATGGCTGCATAACAAACGGTGGCGTCCTGATAAGAACGAACCACTGTTTCTCATGGTCCCATGCGTTGCCAGTCTCTGCTGGGCAGCGTTGCCTGGGAAGCCCCCGTCCCTCCACAGGCAGACGCTTAGCAGAAGCCGTGAGGTGACGTCCAGTTTTACTGGAGCCGAACACTGCATTCTAACGGGGACCTTTCACATCGGGTCCTAAATTTATCTAACTACAAGGTTAGAAGAAAAGCAAGAACATTTTGTTGTAAAAGGGGTGGGAGGGGACTTATCAAATAAGTCTTTAAAAGCACTAAGTTATAGAGGGAAAGGAGAAATCTCATTACACCAAAATATAAGATTTCTGCCCACAGAGGCCCACATAGAAGAAGTTAGTACACGGATGGCTGAATGGAAGGAGATAGTTGCAATATCTAAAACTGACAAGCAGTTAATGTCTAGCTATAAACTCCTGCAAATCAACTAAAAAAAAAGGAGCACTATAAATTCTAAAAATTTTGCAAAGGATATTACAAAGCAATGAATAAACATTATGTCCCAAATGTTAGGAAGCAATATGAAGAGGTGCTCGGAATCATTAGTAATTAGAAAAATGCAAAGTAAAACAGTGAGCTATCGTTTTATACCTATGAACGTGGCAAAGATGAAAGAGCTAGATAACGCCAAGTGTGAGTAGGTATGTGTGAGGAACGCAGGGGAAAAGGAACCCTCATACACTTCAGTGGGATGGGGACTGGTGCAGCCATCTGGACGGCATCTGGAACTGGCTATGGGTACATAGATATTCCTGGGGGAATTGCTGGATTTACAGGATATGCATGTACACACGTTGTCTAAGAAACTTCCCACAGGCCTGAGAGCTGTCGAGTTGAGAGAGATGTTCCCTGCAGGATCACTTTGTTGTTTGGATGTGCGTGTGTGCGCATGTGTTTGCGTGTGTGCGCGCGCACGTGTGTGTGCGTGCGTGTGCGCATGTGTGTGTGTGCGTGCTGTGTGCGTGCGTGCGCGCACACGTGTGTGCGTGTGTGTGTGTGTGTGTGTGGTGGCATAGTGGCAGGGAGCTGGAAGCAATCTGAGTGTCCATCACTGGTAGAACGATAAATCATGGTGGATTCTCACCACAGAAACCCAAGTAGCAGTTAGAAACTACAGATTAACTATGCATATAGCAACATAGATGAAGAGTAATTGCTCACTAACTATTCTGCTTTGAATTATCCACTATTCTATTCTGTCCACTAACTATTCTGGAATGAGATATGGCATAACAGTACAATTTACAAAAAAAATACAGAGAGGTGAAACAACAACATGCTTTTTTTGGGAAGAACATGTACAAACAAAAATATATATTACCATATTAGAAAGGTCACTATTGTGAGGACATAAGTAAAAGTGGAGTATAGGGATGAAGGTTAATTTAAAAAAATGTTTTTCATATCAAAGGATGTATGTTACCTGACTTCCAGCTTTATAAAGCTACAGTCGTCAAGACAGTGTGGTGTTGGCATCCAGATGGACATATAGATCAATGGGACAGAAGAGAAACTCCCCAAACAAACTCACACATACACGGCCCATTGATTTTTTAAAAACAAGTGTACAAAGGTGTGCCATGCCAGCACGGCCATGGATGAACCTGGCGGTGGTGGTGGTGAAGGATTAGAAAAGACAGACAAGAGAATAAAGCCGTGGCTAGTGGACGCTGCCCTCTCTGATGGAGAAACAGCACCACAACCTGCAAGCCAAGTCTTTATTTTCTAGCCAGATTCCACGAGGCAAAGTAAGGGCGTGGTCAAGATGTTTATAACGTTCTCGTGGGTTTCGAATCTACTCAATTACATGCACCTGATCAAGCTTTGTTTACTTGCTGCACCTCCCGAAGCCCATAGCACTCAGCCACGTGGGACCACAGGTTCGGACCATAAGGTCAAGCTTACAAGCCTTTGGCTATAATTGTGCTGGGAGGGCTTTGCCCTTTAAGCTAGGACTTGCACGTGGCTTTGCCACGAGAGAATTGTGCCCTCTCATTAGTCTAAGGCTCGAACCTGTCCAAACACTGTAGCCGCTCTCCACACAAAGGCAATTCAGTGGAGAAGGGAACAATTCAATACCCATATGCATAAAGTTAATTTGGATCCATAACTCAGAGCATATGAAAAATTAACTAAAAATGGATCGCAGGCCTAAATGTAAAACAAACAAACAAAAAACTATAAAACATAAGAGAAAACATAAAAGAAAATCTTTTGTGACCTTGGGTCAGGCAAAGATTTCTTAGTTGCAACACTAAAATATCAGTCTATAAAAGAAACATTTGATATATTGAGTTTCATCAAAATTAAGAGCATCTGCTCTTTGAAAGACACTGTGAGAATGAAGAGAAAATACTTGCAAATGATCTATCTGCTAAAGTGCTTGTATCCAAAATAACTCTCAAAACCCAGTAAGAAAACAAACACTACATTTTTTAAATGGTCAGAAAACTTGAATAGGTAAAGAAGCACATGAAAAGACGTTGGATATCATCAGTCATTACGGAAACTCAAATTAAAACTATAATGAGCCCTAACCAGTTTGGCTCAGTGGATAGAGCGTCAGCCTGCGGACTAAAAGGTCCCAGGTTCGATTCTGGTACCTTGGTTGCGGGCACATCCCCAGTAGGAGGTGTGCAGGAGGCAGCTGATCGATGATTCTCTCTCATCAATGTTTCTAACTCTCTATCCCTCTCCCTCCGTCTCTGTAAAAAATCAATAAAATATATATTTTTTAAAAACTACAATGAGATACCACTACACACCAGTGAGAATGGCTAGAATTAAAACGACTGACCATGCCAAGCGCTGGTGCATCTGCGGGGCCAGGGACCGGGAGCTCTCACCTATCGACGGTGGGCGTGTGTGATGGTGCCACCCCTGCGGCAGTTTCCTAAGAAGTTATAAACATACATCTACCATGTGGCTTAGCCATTCACTCCTCGGTACTGACCCAAGAAAAATGAAGGCACCTATCTATGCAAGGACTTGTCATCTGAAATTTTCAGCAGCTCAACAACTGGAAACAACCCAAATGTCCATCCACAAGCGAATGGATAACCACGTGGTGACATGTCCAAGACAATGTAATACTATAAAATAAACGTTACTTAGCCATCAGAGACAGGAACTATGGACACCCCTGCACGGGTGAGCCTCAAACAGTCTTTGTACTGAGAGAAACCAGGCACAAAAGGGGTAATACTGTATGATTTCCACTGACATCGAATTCTAGAAAATGGGGTATAATCCACAGGGAGGGGAAGCAGATCAATGGTTCTCTGAAGAAGGAAGAGGAAGGACACTTTTAGGGAGGATGGATATGTTCATGATCTTCATCGTGATGATGGTTGCATGGAAGCGAACATACGTCAAAACGCATCCAATTTTACACTTTAAATGTGTGCAATTTACTGTAGATCAAACCCTAAATAAGGAGTGTTTACAAAGGCAATCTCCCGCCCAGGGTAAGGGGCACAGCTGGCTGAGGGGCAGCGCAGGATTCGAACGCGTCAGCCTGCCGTGGAGCCCGCTTACGTAACCCCTGAGCTCCAATCCACAGCACCGGTGCACCCAGGAAAATGCTGGAAGCGGCAGAGACCGCTCGCGCCGGTTGCGGCCGGACAGAGTTAATGATTACGGGTGGCGGCCCCGCCCCGTCTGCACTCCCCGCCCCGGGGCGGCCCCAGCCCGGCCCCGCCCGCCCGACGGCCGCCGGTGCACCCCGTGCCGCGCTCGCCCTCTCCGCCGCCACCTGCTGCTCGCCCGCGCCCACGCTGCGCCCCGACATGGTGAGGGGGGAGTCGCGCGCCGCCGCGATGGGGGCAGCCCCGTTAGGAACGGGCGTGCGTTAGGGTCCGAGAAGAGGAAGGGGGCCTTAGGGTCCCCGCTCCCCCGCAGCAGACTGCGCTGGCTGGGCGGGGGAGGGAGGGTGGGAAAGGTGGGGAGGGTTCCTCTGAGCCCCTGGCAGGTTAGCACGCGCCTGGTTCGGAGAGTGGGTGGGGGGTGGGGGGAGGTCTGTCTCGCTCCCACCCCTGGTGGTGCCCCTGGGGAGGCTGAGGCCACGAGAGGGCGGTGGTAGGTCCAGGTAACAGGCAGGCTGGCCCGGGGCTCCCAGGCCTGTGCCCCCTCGGCACCACAATAGTTCGGGCGGGGCTTAGCGACCTCCCTGGGTACAGGTGGGGCGGTGGGACCAGGGCCTGGGTGGGGAGGGACAGCATACGCAGCCGCCGTTATGGTCCCCGAGGGTGGTATTGGAGGTGGGGATGGGCTGTGTCTGTATGTGGGAGTGTGGAGAGGGAGATGGGATTCGTGAGTTCCTCTGCGCCCTGTTTACTGCCCTTCTGGCTTGCACTTCTGGGCACCGGGGCTGGCGAAGCCCGCTGGGCGCCCTGTGCTGCCCCTGGCCTCGGAGCCAGCCCCTGGTGCCTAGTTTGAGGTCTGCCCCGCAGTGCAAACACCATGGCTCAGGATCATCTGTCCTGCGGGCTGAGCTTGCCCCCAGGAGGGTCTCGTCTCGTCTCAGGTGTGCTTCAGCACCGCCTCCCCGGCTCCCCACCTCAGCTGGAGAGGAGCCTCTAGACCCGGGAAGCTGTATAAACAGCCCATTTCTGGCCCCAAAGCATTAGGAGCAGTCCAGACCCCAGTGACACCTGAGAGGCACTGTGAAGGCTATGGCTGGAGGGGGAGCTGGTGAGTGAGCCACAGGGAGGCCCCAGGAGCAGGACATGGGTAATCAGTAACCGCTGGGCACACTCCCTCAGAGGCCTGGCCAGGACAGGCCTGATTTGGGATTTACTAAGTAAACACGGCCCCTTCCCCCCTCTGACCCCAGATTAGAGGGGCTTGTCAGCTCAGCCTCGGGCTGTGAGTCCGGGGGTTCCAGAGGACTCTAAAGAGAAGGGGGGCCCTCCGGGGACTCACTAGTACCCACCGCTCCTTTCAGAGCGGAAGAACCAAACAGTGAGCTCTGATGCCCTGGGTGACGTCTGGTCATCCGGTTGCCTGGAAACGTGGAGCAGGCTTCTCAGCCACCGAGAAAGGCCAGCTCCGGAACGGAGCTCTGTGATGCCCATCTCTGCTGCCTTCCCTGGCTCTGCGGCACAGAGGGCAGACAGACCGCGTCTGAGCATCCAGAGAGAGCACGTGATTTCAGGAGGGGAAAAAGATGGACTTTGCCGGAGCGCTTTTCCAATTCTGCCCAAACCCAAGGCCCATCATGAGCCTACTTCTCCCAGGAAGTTTCCTTTTAAAAATGCAGATGACACGCCTTTAATTTACAGTGGTTCTCAACCTTCTGGCCCTTTAAATACAGTTCCTCATGTTGTGACCCAACCCTAAAATTATTTTCGTTGCTACTTCATCACTGTAATGTTGCTACTGTTGTGAATCGTCATGTCAATATCTGATATGCAGGATGGTCTTAGGCGGCCCCTGTGAAAGGGGTCGCGACCCACAGGTTGAGAACCGCTGCTTTAATAACAACGGTGTTTACTGAAGTGTCCCATTGGCTCTTGCTGATGTGACGTGGACGTGCTTGTCCCCTTTCACCCGTGAAGCCCAGGAGATGAGTGCCACGGGCCACCTGGCTGGAGAAAGGAACTGGGCTGGAACCACCCCTGCACGCTCCCTCCACCCATGTGGCCTGCGGGCTGCCTCAGGAACGCTGCTTTCCCCTCCCTCACATTGTCTCCCCAGACCTTGGTGCGCTTTTTACTTAGCGCTGCATGGTTGCCGTCCTTGGGGGATCGATTTCAGGAGCCTCATTCTGGGACCCCCCTAAGCTCCTAGACCTGGAGCCTCCACAGGATAGAACTGACTTGCTTCCTTCAGTTCTCGGAAGGTCCCGCTCATGGCCTGAATTGTGCCAATCCGGGCTGCCCAGAGGGCACTTTGCACAATATACAGATGGGGAACTAGGTTTGCCAGTTGCCTTTGGCCAAGTGACTTCGACTTTTAACCGAGCTCTGTGGCTCAGGCTTCCCAGCCTGACAGGAAAGAAGGTCGGGGAAGGAAGTCTGCGAACCTGTGGCCTGGCCGCTGGGAACCAGAGGCGGCTGGGAGCGCCATGGAGACGCACTGGGTGGTGGTCAGTGCTCGTCTGCTGCACTGTGGCTCAGGGCCGCCTGGAATGTCGTTAGTGCTGGGCCCTTTGCCGGCCCCAGGGACAGAGGCACCGGCCCACTTGAGAAGGATGCCGAGGCTCTCACTGACTCGGGGAAGTGCCGGGGTCTTCCCCTTCCAGGCCTGTCTCCTCTTCAGTGCACCTGGCAGCAGGTACCCGTAGGGGCACGGAGGCAGGTCCGTAATTGGAAAAGGAAGGCTGGACGGTTGGGTGCTCACTTTCTGTAAGGTTATGTGGTAATACACACACGTCTAGGCTAGGTTTTGCTCTTACTCCCTCATTAGTGTAAGAGACTTACTTTGGGGGGATGGGGAACATTACTTAGTTTGATGTGATTGACATCATACTTTAGGATTTTCTCTTTTTTTTTTTTTTTTGTAATCCTCATTCAAGGATATTTTTCCATTGATTTTTAGAGAGAGTGGAGGGGGACGGGGAGAGAGGGAGAAACATTGATGTGAGAGAGACATATTGACTGGTTGCCTGCACGTACCTCAACCAGGACCTGGGATCAAACCTGCAACCTAGGACATGCCCTTGACCGGGAATTGAACCCACAACACTTGGGTGTGCTGGCCAGGACAGGGTTTTCTGTCCTTTTTCGTGGAGTGTAAATCTAAGAACCTATCAGTGCCTGCACCAGGGCCCCACCTCCAGGGCAGGGTGCCACCCTCCCCACTCCAAGTCTATGCTTTAGACCAGCTGCCCTTTGACTGTCACCTGGGTCCAGAGCTGCCAGTGGAAGCTGGCTCAGTTCCCTCAAAGGTCTGGGCCCTCTGCTTTGTCCTGTACTAAGACATGCCCTTGGGCCTCTGGTTTTTCCTCTCCTAGGCTGGCAAAGCACACAGGCTCAGTGCTGAGGAGAGGGACCAGCTGCTGCCAAACCTGAGGGCCGTGGGGTGGAACGAGGTGGAAGGCCGAGATGCCATCTTCAAGCAGTTCCATTTCAAAGACTTCAACCGGGTATGGCCCAGGGGGGGGACAGTTTTCTGAGTCTGGGGCTCATGGGGTCACACTTGTTCTCTTCCTTGAAGTCTTAGACCAGTGGTTCTCAACCTTCTGGCCCTTTAAATACAGTTCCTCATGTTGTGACCCAACCATAAAGTTATTTTCGTTGCTACTTCATAACTGTAATGTTGCTACTGTTATGAATCGTAATGTAAATATCTGATATGCAGGATGGTCTTAGGCGACCTCTGTGAAAGGGTCATTCGACCGCCAAAGGGGTTGCAACCCACAGGTTGAGAACCGCTGTCCTAGACGCTCAAACACTACACTAATGCAGGTTACTCAGACAGTGTCACCCTTGGGGATGGGAGAGGGCAGACCTGGCTTTGGACTCTCCACACCTTGAACTTACATCTGAAGATATTTTAGACAAAAGATTGGCCAAGACTCACCACCTCTGCGGTGTTTCCACCTTGTTGGTGGTCTTCCTTCCTACTGCAGGGAGACCCCCTCGAGCTCCTGCCTCAGAACCAGTGGCAAGATGCTGGGGATGGTGAAAGCGCGAGGGGGTCTCCTCCTAGGAAGCCTGTCAGCCCTCCTGCATCGAGGCCTAACACTGGCCACGGAAGGGTGCCCAGCAGCCTCTCGCGCAAAACACTAACCTGGGTCTCACTCCACTAACAGGCCTTTGGCTTCATGACAAGGGTGGCCCTGCAGGCTGAGAAGCTGGACCACCATCCTGAATGGTTTAACGTGTACAACAAGGTGAGTGATGTGTGCCTGTTGTGCTTGGCGAGTTCAAGTTCCGAGAACTCCACCTCCCTTGGACTTCCCTACGGGCCTCCTCACCCAGACTGTCCACTCCTCCTGCTCCATTCATCTCTACAAATGTTTAAAATGCACGTTAAAACACTGTTCAAGTAGACACCAAGAAGATAAAACCCAAGGAAGGAAAGGCTGTGGGAGTCCGACATAGCCACTGTTCGTAGCTCTACGTGGCCTAAATCTTTCTGAAGGAATGGAAGAATGAGGTAATACAATTGAACTAATAGCCATGCACAGCAAACAGATCAGATATTCTGAATGAACTGAAACAGTCATTAAATGCCTGCCATGGGCCAAGCGCTATCCTGGATTCTGAAAACATTAAGGCTAGAAGACATGGATAGCGTTTAGTGGGAATTGGAGTCCTTTAGTTTTTTTGTTTTGTCTTTAATCCTCACCCGAGGACATGCTCATTGATTTTACAGAGGGGATGGGAGAGAGAAACATCTGTGTGGGAGAGAAACATCTGTGTGGGAGATAAACATAGATCAGTTGCCTCCCTGTATGCGCCAGGCAGGGGAGTGAACCTGAAACCTAGGTATGTGCCCTGACCAGGAATCAAACCCGTAACCTTTTGGTGATGCTGCTCCAACCAGCTGAGCCACACTGGGCAGGGCTCATCTTTAGTTTTTAGGTAACTCTCAATGTTTGGAGATTTCATTTTTAACCTAAAGCTGAAGTTGCCGGTTTTTTTGGAGGTGGAATAGAAGACAGTCCTGCACTGCTGTTACAGAAACCAGTGCTGTCGGGACAGCAGCCCCCAGGGGAAACCCCATAGTGACTGGCTGCCACAGGCAGACCTCAGAGATGTGGGTTCCGGTCCAGACCACCACCACAAAGCGAGTCACACAGATTTGTTTCAGTGCGTGTAAGAGTTATGTTTACACTCTATTGTCCTCTATTAAGTGTGCAATGGCATTATGTCTAAAAAAGCAATGTTCATACCTTAATTTAAAAATACTTTATTCTTAACAAGTGCTATCACCTGAGCCTTTAGCGCAGTGGTTCTCAACCTTCCTAATGCTGTGACCCTTTAATACAGTTCTTCATGTTGTGGTGACCCCCAACCATAAAATTATTTTCGTTGCTACTTCATAACTGTAATTTTGCTACTGTTATGAATCGTAATGTAAATATCTTAGGCGACCTCTGTGAAAGGGTCATTCAACCCCCCCAAAGGGGTCGTGACCCGCAGGTTGAGAACCACTGCTTTCGCAAGTCGTGGCCTCTTTGCTGGAGGGACAAACTCTCTCAACTTGTAGAAGCGCAGCCCCAGGGAAGCGCAGTGAAGCGGGGTATGCCTGTATTCCGGAGCTCGGTGTGGCTGAGCCAACAGCTAGTGACTCCTGCTCTTCGGTGAAGTCCATGGAATCAGCTGGTCCCAATCTCTGGCTCTGTTTCAGGTCCACATCACCCTGAGCACCCATGAGTGTGCAGGCCTGTCGGAACGGGACATAAACCTGGCCAGCTTCATCGAACAAGTAGCCGTGTCCATGACCTAGACCCTGCCTTGCCTCGTTGAATTCTTCAGGGAAAGGGGTGACTGATCTGGAAATCCAGAGAGAACAGGGGAGCCCCCCAAGTGCTGCTGTAGTCAAAATTGCTATGTCCACCTTGCTGCCTCCATTTCGGGGCGAGTCCTTGCTGTGGGAAGAGATGCCAGTGTCACTGCCAACACCAGGAACTCGGACTGTTTTCCTCCACACTGCCCTTCATCTTGGGGCCCTAAAGAAGGTGCCCTCGTTTGAATAAGATCTTCCCATTCCTTACAGCTTTCCAGCAACAGAAATGATTTTCTTTCCAGGCCGTATCTTGCTCCCTTTCTAATTCATTTCCCAAGAAGCTGTGGTAGGAGCTGTGTCTAAGACAGACAGAATCTTAGAAACCAGAACCTTAATGCCAGCCCCCTCCTATGTGATAGAAATGCATGCTTTTATGCCTCAAATAAAACTTGTTTCACTTGGCCGCAGGCTAGAACCTTCTCTTCCACAGATCAATCCAAATTGCAGTCAACAGGCATTTAAAGCACTTCCTGGGTACCACCCTGCCTTCAAGGAGTTCAGTATCCTCCAGGGGAAGCAAACAGGGACACAGGTAACTGCTACTGCGCAGATAAATGAAGGCAGCACTGGTGCAGGGATAGGAACTGCGCGGAGAACAGGACGGGACTAACAAGGTGACTCTGGAGCTTCATTTGAGTTGTGCCTCAGACCTGAATCCGACTCCTGAGGCAGAGGTGGCATCATGAACGAAGATGAAGGTGAGCAGGACACTGTACACACGCCTGCTGAGGCCTACGCCTAAAAAGGCAGCCTGGACCACGCTGTCTTGGCCTACAACCTCAGGTGAGATTTCTAATCCTGACGGCTTTCACACTTTCCTAGAAACTCAGCCACAGTCTCAAGGCTTGTCTGCTTTTCACTCTAAGGGCGATGACAAAAGCCAAGACTTAGAAGATGGCAAGCTGTTTGCCACCTGAGAGTTAAGAAGCCGATTCGCAGATTGGTCCTCCAACCCAGTAAGCAACGCTAGGGCAAGACACTCACTGACGTGCAGGACAGAGGGGGCACTGAGCAGTGTCGTCCACGGGGTGTGCATGCCACACGGCTGTCATTTCATGTTGGCCATTATGCAAGAGTTCTCACCTATGACATCTAACCTGAGGCTGCCTGGGTGCTAAGCTGACTTACAGATACCAGGGTCACTTGGAGCAGGCATCTAGCAATGTCACAACCCAGTCACCCTGGAGGAGTTGGCCCTGCAACAGGCCAGAAGAGGCAGAGGCTGGTGGTCGAGAAATCAGCATATTGTTGGCAAGAGGGACAAGCAGGCCCCCCTTCCCAGCCTATGCTAATAAGGATTATCATTGCCTACATTAATAACAAATTCTCAGCAAAGCCTAGTGTCAAAACCAACAAGGTACAGACAGTGGTCCCTCATCTGCTCTTCTGACGTAAATTTTTCTAAGTGCACTTTGACCTGATGACTGTGGGTTAGGGGACCGCAGCCACATCACACTGTGTTATGCCAGCTTCTTGCCTCTGCTTACGGCGTGAATCAAGGGTTGAAAACACCAAATCAGAGGACACTACAGTTGTATGAAGCACTTTTATGTGGGACAACGACACACTTTTTTTAGAAATGTTTATTCTAAAATTATTCAAGCAATTCAAATTATAGGGAATGGAGTTAAAGAGAAGTGATAATAAAGAAAGCACAAGAAAAACTAAAGCAATTAAAACTCCAAATCAAGAAAAGGCCCTCAAAAATCTGACTTTTACCACACCCAGGCCATCAATTTAGGCCTCCGCCATTACTTTTGTCACTACTGGGTTGAGCTATAAGTGGCTCATTGCTACCAAGAACCCATACAGAAGGCAGAGAGGCCCACAGCTGCAAGGAGCAGGTGTACGCACCCGACACCATTTCTTAGATGGGCCACATCTCCTATCAAAGCATATGCTGGCCCCTCTTTCTCTAGGGTTTACCCCAAAGCAAGCAGGTGCTCAGGGAACTGAGTCATCTGGCATAAAACTACAGCAAAGACCACACTGCTCGACTTGATTCTGGCAAAGGCTGAATGGGCTGAAAGCCAGATGAAAAGTGTGGTTACCTGAACGAGTCTTTGGAACCTGAATAGCCCTTCAAAAAGGCTTCTCGCTTCTTGGTCATAATGGAACAAGACACTCAGCAGTTGTGGGTGCAAAGATAATTGGAGGGGTTGCATCAGTTCCCAAACCAAATGCAAGGTGTGAAGTCCGTGTCCATGGTTAGATGGAGCTCACTGCCCAGCTGGCTGGACACTAGCCCAGATGCTTCAATCTGTCATTAAGGTATACGTAAGAAGTGGATGACAAAGATGACGGCATAAAGCAGGACCCTACCCCTGGGGAACTAAAGACCTGAGTTCCAGACCTCCTTAAAGCAGGTGTGGCCATCACTCCCGGTGGAGCCATGAAAGTGCTGGGAACTAGGCAGGCGTGCTGCTCACCCACTCATGTCTATTTGCCCTAATATCAGTGTCACAGACAACCAGTTCACCACACGGGGGCGATCTCTCACCAGCTGCGGGTTCAAGAGCTGCCAGCATCCCATCTGGGATGATGTGCAGACACCTAATAAATGAATGCAACCATCCACAACAATCAAGATTTGAAACATTTAATTATTTAATTGCTTTTTAAGAGATTATTGCTGCAATTAGGAAGAGAACGTTGAGGGAACGAGGAGGTTAAAGACAGAAGATTTAAAGGAGGCAAGTACCATTTTCCAAGTATAAAACTGGCAATATGAAGTGACACGGCAGTATAGTCACATGTCTACTGACTTCTAATGCAGAAAAAAGAAAGTACAGTTTTTGCAGAGGCCAGTGGACATTTGCCATTCTGCCCACCTCTGCCAGACGGGGTGCTACTACAAGCAGATACACACAGAGTGGAAAGCCCACAAATGTTAACTCAAACTAAGGCTCGTAAACATAAAGTGGCTACAGTAGGTCCCTTTGAAAAATAGTCCCACGACCTTCACCCCAGCCCAACCCCTGCAGCAATGTTATCACAGCACAGGGGGCGGTCCTGGGGGGACAGTGGAGGAAGAGAACACTCTGTAGGGTGCATGCTTCTCCATTTTAGCAGCCGACAAACCACAGTGGTGCCTGCTGGGTGGGGCTGGGTCCCTGGACTTCCTCCAACATAATGAATGCACTGGAGACACAAAAGACAATTCACCCACAGCTCCGACCACTCCTCCTCTCTCAGGAGATGCCCACCATTTCAGCAACTGTAACACATGCACGCGCGCGCGCACACACACACACACACCAACCACTCTTGGAACCCACAATGCACAGGATGACTGACAACCACACACACCCTGCAGCGACATGGCCAGTCACAGTTTTGTGTAGACAGTACAGTGCAGAAGAACATTTTAGACAAAAGTGGTGAGGAGCTGGGGGAAATGGTCATGTTGGCTCCTGGCCAGCATACCCAGCGAGGGGGGCGAGAGGATACCAGCCTGAAGTGGCTGAATCTTCAGGAGTCCCTGAGAAGGGGAACGGACAGAGGAGTTTCTCCCAACCCAAACAAAACCTCAAAGACTGATCCCCACCCCTGGGCCTGGGTCAGGAATAGCCACCACTGCTCCCCACTGAGGAAAAGGCACACATACAGTATGTCGTCACTAGGGTAGGACAGTGGCTCAGGTGAGATCCAGGCAGGCCCCATGCAGGGCAGAAAAGGTAGAAAGTGGGCACAGAGTTTGGCCCTGTCCCTGCACCATTCTGAGCATCTAAAGAAATCACAAGCCCTAGGCTACAACCGACACCATCTTGTTTCCCTATTCCAAAATGTTCTCTCATCCTCGCCAGGGCTGAGAAGTGTCCAGTACCTGAGGCTGAACTGCCATAGTACCTTTGGGAGCTGAATGAGAGGAAGGAGGCTGGAAGAACACACCAATGGAACAAAACATTTTCCCTTGCCTTGGGGACTCACTCATACCCTCCTTGTACCAACTAGGATAAATCAAGGCAACTTGTGAAGGTGCTGTGAGCAAACATATTCTCATATATGATGGCTTAAAGCAGTGAGGGAGGGGAGGCCTACAATGAACTTTGGTGACATATTTGAATTTGCGTGCTCATCCTACCCTGATACTCAGAGAGGCAGCAATAGGCCAGGAGGTCCTAGATTCTCTGGGAATTACAGTCCCTTCCTAGTTCCAGAATAAACCAGTGGGGGCACAATTTCAAATACGAATCTCCAAAGATGGTGGAAACCCAATACCAAAGGGACTACACACTAGAAGAGGACCATGTACCACTGGACACGCTGCCTTGGCAGACTGACCACTGCTGCAGAGTAACAACGGCCTGGTCAGCCTGTGTCTTGGGAGAAGAAAACAGGCTGCAGTAAAAGTAACTCTGAGAGACAAGTGACCCACTCGGAGAGCAGGCTGAAGAGCGTCCTGCGTAGAGTTACCGAACACCCACCCGGGAAACTTCTGTCACACGAATGCTCCCTATTTGACTATAAAACAATCTGCTTGGGATGACAAAGAAAACCTTTTTCTACCTCAAACTGTGCCCCAGCTTCCCTAAGGAATCAGGACAGGCCAGAGCTGCCACCCCATGATTAAGTGAAGGTAAAAGCTAGAAAGATTAGAGAAGAAACGGTTAAAACAATTCCTGGGGTGATGTTTAGAACAAGGGCAAAATAATTACGTCATGGAATCCTTCGGGGCTTTCACATTAAAAACCACAAAAGGATGATGAAAGGAGGAACTCGAATCCTGAGGATCAAGCTGTCTTGCGTCTGTCTCGTTGTGCTCTATGGAGCAAGACCAGATATTGAATCTCTGTGGGGCCTGTTCCACACCCCAGAACCTTCTGAAGGCCAAATGCCCTCGGGCTCAGCGGGGCTTCGGAGAGCCATTCATCTGGCTGCCCTGAGGTACAGTGTCTGTGCTGAAAAGGCTGTCCAGGAAGATCGAGGACAATTCTGCTACCTGGTTCCTGTCGACAGTGGTCTGGGCCATGCCATAGATCGCACCCTGCAAATCCAGTCACAGAATTGTTAATGATGAGGGATCCAGAACGGCTGTGCTCCTCCCCCCCCGATCCTTGCCTTGCATGTGGCCTCCTCTCCCCAACTCCATCCCCACCCCAGGCTCCATTCTATCAGAGGGATAGCCAGCTCGCTAAGTTTTCCCAGGTACTTGCCAGTCATCTGCCTTTCTGCCCAAAGGAACTATCCTGTGGGATTTTATGTAGAAAATTCAAGAGACAATTGGTTTATTGCCTCTCCGGTGTCAAATTTTTCTTTTCAAATGGACACTGCCACCACCTGCCTTTGCATACAGCACTTACAAATTTACAGGGTGCTTTATACTCAGTCTGTCCATTCCCTGGGAATGGACAAGGCAGAAATCATCAGCCACAATGAAATAAGGAAACAGGTTTGTGGATAAGAGGCAGAGGCAGGAACAGACTCGAGGCCACCTGGTTCTTTCAACCCCCTCCCCGTAACACCTAACCTTCAACAGAGAAGATAAAACCCCAAGTGCTCCTACCATTCCTGTGGCCTTTCCTTTAGGGTTCTTCATGATTTGAGTGACAGACTCTCGGACGTCCTTTAGGAACTGTACGGCTACTCGCTTCCGGGTGTGTACTAACGTGACGCAGAAATGAATACTATGAGAGAAGAGAGACAAAGAGAGATGCACCTTAGAAAAAAAATTTTGAAGTTGTAAAATAAAGCAGCCCCCAGTACAGGCATTTATTGGTTGCTCCTTCACGTTACTTGTGACAAGTGTAGTCGTCCACACTGTCCCCAGGGCTGGGAACCAGGGCTCCCAAGTCCATGGCTTGTCAAGCACGGGCTGGCAGGAGGGCGTCTCGGCCTCATCAAGAACCTTCCTGACAGAATGGATACAGCGGCTGTGCTACCCCACCCCTCTCCTCAAAATCTGTCCACCACGAGTCCTTCAGCCATGTGGCCTTTATCTTAGATGATAAGCCCTCCTGGGGACAGGGCCATCGGCTGGGTCTTGAAGGGTGTCAGGGCAGAGAAGCAGCTCTAATGCCCCTGGAGGGCGTCTGTGGGGCAGAGGGATTGTGAAGAGGAAAAGGCAGAGTCAAATGGGGCTGGCAATGGTGCGAACGTGATCGGGTCAGGGTACGTGGGGGACACCGAAGAGCCCTATTCTGCTGGGGGGGGGGGGGGGGGAGTGCTGACTTAAAGGCAGCATGGACGGTGAGGCTAGGGAAGCAGCAGGCCTGAAGGACCAGGAGCACTGGGAGGTTGTGAGCTAAGTATTACTCAGATACAAGTCGGTTTATAAGAGCAACATGAAGACCGTGTACAAGACGGATCTGAGAGTACAGAGAGAGTGGGGGTGGGAATCTTATGACAGACCCCTGATCTCAAGAGGCTGCCACCTAACTTTGCCAAAGTTTAAAGATAATGGTCCTGTTTTGATACTGAGATACTCCAGGTGTCTGGACAGAAATCCTAGATCCTACTGTTGCCACTAGTGCTGGGCCCTAGCAGCCCATCTCTACAGATCACCTTGCTACCCAAGTTCTTCAAAAGTCACAAAGCAAAGGAAGAAAAAGGGGCTTCTTTAAGTTTACCTGGACGGGAACTGCAGCTGGTTCAAGTTCCACCCCTTAGCAGTCATCAGATTAAACAGTCGGTAGATGTCAAAATCATGGGAGCCCAGAGCAATGACCGACAACTGAGGATCCCCAAAAACAAAGATGCCTTTGATATTTTCCAGTCTTAAAGCAAACAAGAAAAGGAACAGAAAGAAAATTCAGCCACATACGGTCCTCTGGTCATCATCTCTTTCATCACCCAATGTTTCCCTTACAGCCTAACCTTTTGGGCTTTAGTTTTCTCATCCTGTAAAATAAGGTATCTAGACTGAGATCAGTAATTCCTAAGCATTACAAATAGTCAAAGGCCCAAACCATATCTAGACCCAATGAATCAGAATCATTGGCTCCTAACCTGTCTGCCCAACTCCCAAATTATGATATCACCCCCATGGACATCTGAGGAATAAGACACTTTTTCAAAATACTGAAAAAACAATTTCTCCATCCCTCAATTTTAAAAACATATGTAGTCTCTAAAGCAAGAACTAGTACAGTTCTCAACAGATAGGGATTATCAGAATCATATGTGGGCCTTTTTTCAAATGAAACATGTCCACTGGCCACTTTTATTCACCCTCAAGATTCTGAAAAAAACCTCCCCAATCCTGTTGACACAGAGAGACAGGCAGTATGTGAACAGATATGCTCAACAGAGCACACAGCTTAGTTCTAGCCTTAGCTTAACCCAAGATTCCATCGCCGCCCCCTTCCCCATTCCTTCTCCAGTTCTTTTCTTATTCCAGTGATTCTCCAAGTGGGATTCCTAGACCAGCAGCATCAGCATCCACTGGGAACTTCCTAGAAATGCAAATGCTCAGGCCATTCCAGATCTAATGAGTTAGAACTCTAGGAGCAGGGCCCAGGAATCTGCACTTTAATAAGCCCTCCAGGTGATTAGGATGCATCCTCAAATTTCAGAACCACTGTCTTGTCTCAGTCATTAAACTGTCCCTCCGTACTTGGTAAGAGCTGCCAGTGGTTAAGACATCCTTGGAAACAAGATGGCCTAGATCAGTGTTTCTCAACCTTCTGGCCCTTTAAATACAGTTCCTCATGTTGTGACCCCCCAACCATCAAATTATTTTCATTGCTACTTCATAACTGTAATTTTTCTACTGTTATGAATCGTAATGTAAATATCTAATATGCAGGATGGTCTTAGGCGACCCCTGTGAAAGGGTCGTTCGACCACCAAAGGGGTCGTGACCCACAGGTTGAGAACCGCTGGCCTAGATGAAGCGCTAACCTGACATTCCAAGTCACAGCAGAGCAAGGGAGCCCTATCCTCCCAGGCCAACACCACACTCCTAAGCTGCTGTCCTAAGCCCTTGGTCTCTCAGGAGACAACGAATGGGCTGGGGCTACAGGTGCCTGGCCGGGCAGATGCCTTGAGCACACTAGCAGACAAAGCAAGAGACAAGGAGAATCCCAATCTTCCACATACTCTGACTTGAGGAAGCGAGACGTTTTGATGATCTGTTTGGTAGCTTCAACATAGCCGCTCTCACCGAAGTGCATCAAGGCAGCCCAGCAGGCTGCACTAATGCCACCAGGCCGTGAGCCCGCGACGGTTGGGGAAGCGTAGATGCCACCCTGCCAGTCTGGATCAACGAAGAACTGATAGCTCCTGTACTTCTTGTCACTGTATAACACCACGGAAGAGCCTTTGGGGGCATAGCCATACTGAGGGGAGAAGCAGACAGGTGATTGCACAATTCTATTCAGCAGACCTGCCCTGGCACGCTGATCATGGAAAATGTTCCCTCACATTCTCTATGATGCTTCTCACTCACATTAAAAATTCAAACTTACAATGTTAACAGGTAGAGAGAACTGAAGGGATGGAGCTGAAACTCTATTTTAGGGATGAAGAATCCAAGGCCCAGTAGGAACAGTGCCTTGTCCTGCTAATCAGTTTACTTCCCCTTTCCCACCCAGCATGTGGTTTTCCTTATTTAAAACATTATTCCAGCCCTAGCCGGTTCAGCTTAGTGGATAGAGCATCGGCCTACAAGCTGAAAGGTTCCAGATTCGATTCCGATCAAGGGCACATGCTCAGGTTGTGGGCTCAATCCCCAGTGTGGGGCTTGCAGGAGGCAGCCAACCAATGATTCTCTCTCATCATTGATGTTTCTCTCTCTCTCTCCCTCTTCCTTCCTCTCTGAAATCAATTAAAATATATTTTAAAAAATAATAAATAAATCATTATTCCAGGGCAGTATGTCAGGATGAAAGCAAAGATAAAGTGCCACTGGAAGCCAGGAATCCAAGTCACTCAGGTCAACTACAATCACGACCTCACTCCCTTCTCATCCTTGTTCACTTACTAGTACACTTCCTTTCTACTAAGAGCTTCAGAATCTAGAAGCTATTTCATCCAGTTTTACAATAAACTGATCTAGATTTTGTCTCAGTCCATGAGGGGGAGCAGGAATGGACATTTCAAACATTACAAGCCAAACATTCCTGAGCACGTTAAGTTCTTCCCTTTTTCCAAAGGACTTTCCATCAGCATACTCCTGCCACAGGTACAGGAACCCAACAGCATGGGAGCTGCAGCATTTACATACCTCCCTCAGGAAGCCCAATTAAACCTCCCTTCATCCTCCCCTCAGATCGCCTCAAGGTTCAGGAAACTCTTTTTTTTTTTTTTTTTTTAATATATTTTTATTGATTTCAGAGAGGAAGGGAGAGGAAGAGAGAGATAGAAACATAAATGATGAGAGGGAATCATTGATTGGCTGTCACAGGTACGTTGGACCAAGCCTGCAACCCAGGCATGTGCCCTTGACCAGAATCGAACCTGGTACCCTTCAGTTCGTAAGCCGATGCTCTATCCACTGAGCCAAACCAGCTAGGGCGGGAACTAACTCTAAAAAGGGCCACTACACTAACATGTCCCAGTTATAGAAATTCTCTCAGCCATAAGACACAAAGATAATGGGTTCCTTTCCACTATTGCTTGTCATCTCTATCACTGGACCCTGTCACCTGAATCAGCTGCCCTGGTGAAAACAAAGAGCCAGATTTCATTTTACATTTTGGGAAAAGCTAATGCTTTAACCAATTTATTTTGTTGATAACGGTCAAAATAATCAGCTGTCTCCTCTGACTGACATTTGGTCCCTTCCGTAGCTCACCTTATGGGTATCCGCTGAAATGCTGGTCACACCTTTCACCCGGAAATCAAATGGTTGCTCCAGTGGGTATCCTGCTTTCTCCATAAAGACGATGAGAAAGCCCCCCAGACAAGCGTCTACATGAAGAGGTATTTTGTATTTGACAGCCAGCTAGTTCCAAAAAACAAAGACCATAAGAGAATTTCATTTACAGCCCTGTAACAAAAACTTTGCAAGACATGGGTGGAAAAGTGGGCTGTAACTATAAGGCCATTATGTACTACTAGAGGCCCGGTGCATGAAATTCGTGCACTTGGGGGGGGGGGATCCCCCTCAGCCTGTGCCCTCGCGCGGTCCGGGAGCCCTCAAGGGATGTCCGACTGACGGCTTAGGCCCGCTCCCTAAGGATGCCGTCAGTCGGACATCCTTAGCACTGCTGTGGAGGTGGGAGAGGCTCCTGCCACCGCCGCTGCGCTTGCCAGCCATGAGACCGGCTTCTGGCTGAGCAGTGCTCCCCCTGTGGGAGTGCACTGACCACCAGGGGGCAGCTCCTCCATTGAGCATCTGCTCCCTGGTGGCCAGTGAGCATCATAGCGACCGGTTATTCTGCTGTTTGGTCAATTTGCATATTAGCCTTTTATTATATAGGATATCTTCCATGTTTTAAAAAGCTGTCTACTTTTTGACATTCCCAATAAAAAGAGTTCATCTTTCAAATGTATTTAGCCTTCAAAATAATTCATCTGAAATGTGGTGTTTATTTTATATTTAAATATGCAGGCCCTCAAATTCACTGCAAAATCATGCAGAAAATGAGCACCACTCTGATTCCAGCTGCCTCTGGAGTGGGTCCAAGGTCCTGCTTGCTAACTTCCCAGCAGGTAAGGAGGGAGGGTGTACTATGGAGCAGCAGATTGAATACCACCCTTTGGTAGGCATGCTCCTAAATGCAGATCATTTCCTGATCTGAATTGAAATGTTAGTCCTACCTCCAAATATCCCATTTAAACAAAGGCTTCTTCCTTCTATTCTCCTCCCCCACAGCAGAAGCCAGTAACCTTCAGAGGCTCCAAACAGAGCTGCAGAGTTTACCACAGAGCTGATGAGAGCTATTCACCACCCATGTGCTAAAATCTAAATTCAAAATCGCTTCTATTTGCCAAATACTGTACCATGAGATTCTATTTTAAAATCTCAGTTTCACTGCCTAGGGGTCCCTTTTTCTCACATACCTTGGCCACTTCAGGAACAGGATCGATCACACCATGAGGGAACTGTGGGGTAGAACAGACGAGCATGGCAGTGTTCCTGGAGATGGCTCTTCTCATTGCCTAGGAGTTACACGTGGGAAGGAAAATGAGCATCCACATCTCAGTTACTCTCCTATTGCCCTAACAAGATTAATCTAGTCTACAAACTTCAGTTCCACTACTGGCCCCTCCTTCACCTCTCCAACCTGGGAGAAGCCTGCTGCCCACCATCGTAGCAGAATACAAACAAGGCTAGATGGGTCCACTGGGGGAAGAGAGCACAATACAAAAACAGCAAAATCCCTTGTGAGGGAAAAAGAATATTGGGCTAAGAGGTAAAAGCCAACTAGCAGTGAAACCTGGTGTAAACTACTTCACTCCACCCAGTCCGTTTCCTCATCTATGAACTGCAATAATACTAGCAGCTTCTATGACCTCCCTGGGCTGCCCCAGGCTCCAATGAAATTCCGATAGCACTCTGAATGCTGGAAAGTTCTATACAAATGCAAGGCATGAAATTAATCAAGAAAGGAATATTATTCAGCCTTAAAAAGAAAAGAAATCCTGCCATTTTTGACTACATGGGTGAACCTGGACGACACTACGCTAACTTAAGCCAGGAACAGAAAGACAAATATTGCATGATCTCACTTAGATCTAAAAACCTGAACCTACAGAAGCAGAGAGCAGAGAGTAGAAAGGTGGCTGCCAGGGGTTGGGAGTGGAGGAATGGGGAGATGTTGGTCAAGGGGTACCAAGTTTCATGCACCCCTATGTTCATAGCAGCACAATTCACCACAGCTAAGATCTGGAAACAGCCTAAGTGCCCATCAGTAGATGAATGGATGAGAAAACTGTGGTACATCTACACGATGGAATACTATGCTGCTGTAAAAAAGAAGGAACTCTTACCATTTGCAACGGCATGGATGGAACTGGAGAGCATTATGCTAAGTGAAATAAGCCAGTCAATGAAGGAAAAATACCACATGATCTCACTCATTCATGGATAATAGAGACCATTATAAACTTATGAACAAAAATAGATACAAAGGCAGAGCTGCCTCAAACAGGTTGTCAAACTGCAGCGGGAAGGCCGGGGAGGGCTGGGGGGCAGGAGGGAGGGGGTAAGAGATCAACCGAAGGACTTGTATGCATGCATATAAGCATAACCAATGGACATAAGACACTGGGGGGTAGGGGAGGCCAGGGGATTGTCAAGGGCGGAAAAAAAAAAAAGGACACATATGTAATGCCCTTTGTAATACTTTAAGCAATAAAATAAAAAAAAGGGGGGGGGGTACCAAGTTTCAATTACACAAATACATTCTGGAGATAAAATGTATTGCCATGTGACTACTAAACAAGTTTTATTAATACTGCATTGTATATTTAAAATTTAATTAGAGATCTACAGGGCAGTCTTAAATATTTCAACCATGAAAAAAAAAAAAAAAGAAAAATGTTAACTGTGCGAGGTGATGAAAATGTTAAACGCTTGATTATGTTGACTACTTCACAATGTATACTGACATCAAAACATTAAGTTGCACTCCTTAAATATATACAATTTTTAATTTGTCAATTAATTGTACATTAATGCCTCAATAAAGATGAGGGGAATAATGCTAATGCTAATAAACTGGAATAGTTTACTTATGGAAAAAATCATTACTTTATACTGGCAATGGTGCTCACTCAGGCCAATCAAAACCACAGTGACACCCTGGCTGGTTTTGTACATCCTGTACACCAAAAGGTTCGATTCCCCGTCAGGGCATCTCTCTCTCTTTCTCTTTCTCTCTCTTCTCTCTCTCCTCTCTCTCCCCCCTCTCTTAGGGCATATCTCTCCCTCTATCTCTCTCTCTCTCTCTCTCTCTCTCTCTCTCTCTCTCTCTCTCTCTCAAATCAATAAAAACATATCCTCCAGTTAGGATTTTTTTAAAAGTTATAAAACATACAAACCACAGTCAGAGTCTTAGAGCAAGTTAGGACATGCTTATTTCACAAACAGAGAAGAGAAGGTGGCGGTGCTGAAGCAAACCCGGGTCTTTAAAGTTAGGAACAAACGGATGAATCTGTGCAAAGACTGAAGCTGTACTCAATCAGCACTGCCAGTGGAAGATTTTGCAACTCTGGCCACTACAATCAAAGACATTTTGAGCCTGTCTGCATGTGACACTGGAAAAAAACAGTCAACTGGGTACACTTCCTGCTTCTCACAGCCCAGGGCAGACAATGGCCCTTCAGAGGAACTCACCCGAACATCCACCTCCATCATTTTGTTCAGTGGAACCCGTATAATCTTCATCCCAAAATAATGGGCTGCCTTGTCAAACGCAGCATGGGCACTCTGGGGGGCCACACTAAGAGACAGGGAAGAAGAGAATAAGGAAATGAGGTTCAAAAGAACATAGTTGCAGCTAATCTAAAACATCAGGAGTAAACTTCTGATTACTTTTCCTCAAAAATTTTAAAGTGTTTATATTTACTTTTTAAGCACAAAAAGAGATATTCTAAAGAACCTTCTCCCTACTATTTAGGAAATCATTTTGGCAACAGGAAAAACTTGGAAGTAATCCTACATCGAAGGATCCAAAATATAAACTAGAGCTGACAGGTAAGAGAACGGGGAATTTGGATCAAATTAACATAAAGTGGTTGCCTATCCAAAGACAGGCACATCAGAGAAGAGCAAGCTTCCTGACACGGTACAGGTTGAGGCAGGAAATGTAAGCTTGCTTGGCAGGGCTGTTAAAGCAGCAGCCAAGCATCAGATCAAAGGTCCCCTCCATCTTTGAAAGACCACGATCCTATAAGAAACTATAATCCCCATCTGCACTGCACACTTGGAAGTAGCATTTCAAATAGTATTAAAAAAGGAAACTGAGTCATAGTTAAGTATTTGCTTTCAGACTTCCCTCAATGGTTCCATGCTTACAATTAACCTGTTCCCTTTAATGGAGAAAAAGCTCTCTTACTAAGTACCAAGCACCAAAGATTTAGCTTGAAGAAAGATGGTAGCCTGATTTATTCTCTTAGGCTAAGTAGGAATTGCAGCATGAGATCATGCAAGTCCTAATCACTGACACTTGTGGGAAAAACATTAACCCGAATAATGTATAAACACACTGTACAAGGAGAGGGTCTACAGAAAAAAAAAAAAATGCAACCAAATAGCGAAACTATGGGGTGGGCCCTAGCCAGTTTGTCTCGGCGGATAGAGTGTCGGCCTGCGGACTAAAGGGCCCCAAGTTTGATTCTGGTCAGGGGCACGTGCACAGGTTGCAGGCTCAATCCACAGTACGGGGTGTGCAGGAAGCAGCTAATCAATGATTCTCTCTCATCATTGATATTTCTCTCTCTCTCTCTCTCTCTCTCCCTCTCCCTTGCTGTCTGAAATCAATACAAATATATTGCAAAAAACCCCAAAAATCTATGGGGTGGCAATATGGGTAAACCTCAAAAAGATTAAAGAATTTTCTATCCCATAAAACTACCCTTAGCTTGAAATTTTTTTTCTTTAAATATATTTTTATTAATTTCAGAAAGGAAGGGAGAGAGAGAGATAGAAACATCAATGATGAGAGAGACTCATCGATTGGCTGCCTCCTGCACGCCCCCTACTGGGGATTGAGCCCGCAACCCAGACATGTGCCCTGACCAGGAATCCAACAGGTGACTTCCTGGTTCCTGGGTCAATGCTCACCCATTGACCTACACCAGCCAAGCTAGCTTGAAATTTTCTTAGGGGAACCCCAAAGCAGCCTGTAAAATAACTTTCATTGAACTAATATAAACAGAGAGCGTTCCTCAGGCTCCAAATAATTTATAATAAATATCACAGAATTCATAGATGTAGTCTTGTCACTTAGAAAAAGGATCTCATTTTTGCTTGCAGTATATGCACCATTTATAAAAGAGAGGTGGGTCAGGGTGTATGTGGGGGGCGTGATTTTGAAAATTAACTGGCTAATCCACTTAGGATTTTGGTGAATGTGAAGAGAGAAGAGTCAAGGACACAGGACAGGAGGAAAGAGGACTAGAATTGCCAAAGGAAGAGAAGACGCTGAAAGCAGTCAGGGTGCTTCAGGCAGCAGCATTCCAGACAAATCTCAGCAGGGGGTGGGGAGAACGACACAGCCCCACACACATACATTTCTGGAGTTCTGATCCCCTTCTCTAAGGCCAGGTCCCGATAAGCTTTGCAGGCCATCAGTATGCTTTCTGTACCCCCAGAGGTCACCTGTGAAAAAGGAGAGATGTCATTTGTGGAGGGAAGTTAGGGGTAGTTATCAGCCTGCCCTGATGTTGACGGTGGTTGGTACAGAAAGAGGTAAGGTCTTGTGTGCCACAGGGCAGACACTGTTACGTCTTCCAGAAGGGAAACCTGGCTTCGCTTGCTAAGCCCACACTGGGTTCAGGAGAAGAGTGAAAACACTAACTAACAATGAGCAGAAGCTCCATGCTGTCTGGACAACTTGCACATCTGCCCAGATCTGTGCACAATCCATTTCCACATTAATTCCTCCAACTGCAGATAGGATAATGCATTTTACACCATTCAAAAGCATCAGGATTGACTTTGATTTACATTTTCAATGCCTACTGAGAACGTGAAATTGTGAAGTTACAATTCTAGTAAACTATGCAATATATTAGAAGACAAAGAACAGATATTAGGCATTCCAAAGTGAACTTCTGGTTTTTGACAAGTTTGAAAAAAAAAAAAAGAAGCCTCTACCTAGTTTGTTATCTGAAATCAAAACAAAAATCCTAATGTTTCTAAATGAAATAAAATGTTTTCCTGAAGCGAGGTCTAGCAACTCTGATACAGGCAACAAAAAGACGCAGCGGTCATTTCAGTCATCCTATTGACCCTAGGGGACTACAATCTCATAAAGGTGAGGGCCAGTCTGTTCATGACAATATTCCTAGCACCAAGCCTCGTAGCAGACACCTAACAGACCCTCAATTAACATTTCTTAATGCCTGGGCTGACTCTCAGTAAGCCATGACTAACACAGGCATATCATACCCACCTGGCTATCTTTTGATAACATCTAAGAATGAATAATTTTAAAACAAGCCGAAAAAGAAAAGCCATAGCACTGAGCTAGGTGGATATTTTCTTAAATTTACCATTTCCAAAGACTTATAGGATCTTATATAGCTTTTACATTACACAGGTGAGCTGATGAGAGACTAAAGTGATGCACCCAATGTCATCCATTAGCATCTGTTGATAAGAAGTAAAACGTCCTACGTTTTTGTATTTAGTGTAGCTAAGTATGAGACAGAATGAGAGAGGGTGATTACTGAAACTTCCTAAAATAATATCCATATATAGGACAAATGGCATTGGGTAACAAATCCCAGTAGTCAGGAGTTATATGGAAGGTTAGCTGAGAAAAGCTGAATCATTTCTGATTCAGGAAGTCTTCATGAAACATGTGACCATCATCCACAAAGTAATGCACTGAACGTGGGCATAGCACACTTGTGTGTAGTCTCTGCACTTCAATGCTGGAGAAGACAAAAGTGCTTACAGCTGAGGTCAGCTCTGCAAATCAGCAGCATGTCCTGTGCTCCAGCACAAAACCTCAGCATGTCACATGAGAAGTCAAACCAGCTGTGAAGCAAGTCGGAAAAGCACCAGCAAAGTCAGTCTCCAAGGAGTCCATCTCTTACTAAGGTCAAGTAATGACATAAGCAAAAATATTTCCAAACCCTAGTTACTCACTTCACATGTCCTATATTTAGTTCAACAGTTAATCAAATCAACATTGATATATGTTAAGCAAATATCAGTGTATTTTTTACTATTAAAGCTGGGATACCTTAATTCTACTTCTAATTCTTATTTCTGATCCCCAAATTCTGTGTTTAAAGATTCTCCCATTTCCCTCCTCCCCCTGCACCCAAAGGGAAATGAAAATTTAGCTGTGAAGTAAGAGGCTCCAATCACTATTTGTTATGTTAGTCAACTTCTTTTAACATTTATAGTAATTCTCACTCTAACAAATGAAATGTGTGTCAAAAACAAGAGCAGGACATGACCTGTTTGGAAATTTTTCTTTTAGGTGATGTTTGGTCTTACTGACATTTGCATAAGCCAGTTGCCTTGGCAACTTAATTTCTTTTGGTATATAGTCCCCTCTCATCCATTTTGAGGCAAATGAAGTTAATAAAAGGAAAAAAGTTGAAGGCTAAAGAACAAGAAGTGTAATACCTTAAATGGGAATAGTCTAAAGACAGCCCAACCCTTAGGCTTTGTCTTCACGTTCCCCACCTCTGAGCTTTCTTCACTGAAAGCAGCTCCTCAAGAGACAGAGGCACATACAGAGACAGAGGCAGACTGAGAAGCTGAATGATCCCAGAGATTTCAGTCTAAAGTCTAAGCTTGAGAAGAGATTGGAGATCTTAGATTCCATCCTTCTCCTGAGCCCTGACACATCCACTAAAGAAGATTGTAACAGGAGAGACATGGCTTAGTTGTACCTACACAAAAACAAAGTACAAATACCCTAGCGCCGGACTTCCAGAAGACTAAAACTACTTCACGGACTTCCTCCCAATACCTGGAAGACTAAAGAAAAACAGTAGTAACAACGTGTAATAAGAACCAAAGGAGGAACGAGATATAATCTGATGCAATAAACTTCAAATACTGGCAATGAAAGGAAGAAGCAAGTTTCCAATCCATAGCAGAGAGCAAAACACAATACATATTCCCTCTTCTAAGCCCTGGAAGTTATCCAGGCAACTCAGCAAAATCCTGACCATTCTCATCAATACTCCCAAATCTTCGGAGAAGCAAATGGAAGGGGTTTCCTTATCTTCTCTCCTGCTCTTCAGATCAGAGTGGTAGACACAGCAGCTAGGGAGAAAGAGCAAAATGCGGAGAGAACATCTGGACTGATTCTTTAAAGTGGAGACTGCAGAAATACAAGATGGGTTAAGGAAATAATCAAAGCCCAATGGGTATTATTCCCTTCCAACCAGGCAGAGTGAACTCCGGTATGGTTAACTTTTAACAAACTATCAGAAGATGAGACCTAGATATATTGAAATACAGGTGTAACAAAGCTTTAGCTGAATCCTGCCTCAACCAAATGCTCTCAGACAAGAAATCACCCACCACGCATCAGAACAAATAGAATGTCCAGAGAGAGTCACCTAAGCATGAGCCAAGATGAAAGAAAATGGCATGGCAACGATGCAAACATACAAGGAAAAAAGTAGCGTGCAAAATAAAGCCAACTCCGACGGTAACCACCTAAGGAGAAGGACATTCCTCATAGCCGTTGCTCACTACAAGACAACATCATCAGGTCATGAATTCCAGAAAAGAGTTGAAAAGCTGGACACTGAAACAACAAAATGAGACTGCAAACTTTAAAAAAACACAGTCCCAACCAGCACCGATACAGAACTAGGAGCAGAAAGGAACAGAATAAACACGGCTGAGAATAAAAAGTCTGACTTAGAGCAAAGGCCTAAGATAAGGTTAGTGAACCCAGATAAGTAAGACAGAGACTGAAAGATCAATGTCCCTCTACACTTGGAGAACTATGTCCATGTGGCTGCCGTAACCAGAAAGCGTCCAGAGAAGAAAGACAGGGCTGGGCGCAATCTGTTTGGAAATCGTATTCCCTAAGGAACAGCTGAGTAACCTAGGAAAAACAGGGAAGAGATTCAGGGGTAGAGAGGCTTTCAAGTACACAAAGGTCTCTCACGTGGAAAAAAACACACAAAACAGTCATGGAACTTCTATCTCCAGCAATACAGATCATATACCTTGGGCAATGCTCCTACCTGAAACTAAAAAACCTGGTAAGCCCTAACCAGTTTGACTCAGTGGTTAGGCCCCTGGACTAAAGGGTCATGGGTTTGATTCTGGTCAAGGTAACATAATACCTCGTTTGCAGGCTCAATCCCCCAGCCTGCTCAGGGCGCATGTGGGAGGCAATCAATCGATGTGTCTCACATCAATGTTTCCCTCTTTGTCTCTCCCCCTCCCTTCCACTCTCTCTAAAAAAATCAATGGAAAAATATCCCCAGGTGAGGATTCATTTTTTAAAAAGCCTGATAAAACATTACTTTTTTAAAATATCTGCCACTGAGCTAACGTAAAGGAGTATCTGAAAGTGCAAACAAAACAAAATCAAGAATCCTACAAAATAAGTGAGTGCCAAAGCTGGCTTTAACTCTGAGGGTGGCTGCCAATCCCAAGAGTCCTTAAACTCCCACGCCCATTCAAGAACAGGAGATAAATTTAGGACCTGCCCAAAGTAAGGAGGCTAATGGGAGATGGCTGAAGAAAAATGGAATTACACCCACAATCTGAGGGTACAAGAAAAAAATCCCACTGGTACAGAAGAGGACATCAAGAAAAATTGCTGTTGCTCAGGTAAAGAAAAATAAGGATTTGTAAACCACGTATGAAAAGGCAGCTTTTATGTGAGTTTGTGGTCTGAACTCAACTACCTCTGTAGTGCAAAACTATAAGCTATGAACTGGACTAAAATTGGTTCCAATGTGGTAGTACTTCCCAGCAACTGACAGAAGTAATTACAAACCTTTTCTGGAAGAACTTAACTTAAATCTAGGCCTTAAAGTTAAGTTCCCAGGAAAATGAGTGGTTTATAGTAAAAAAATAAATAAATAAAAAACACAACTATAAGGATGCAAGACAACACGAGCGAAACCAGCAGAAACAGAAAGATAAGGCCATGAACAATGGAATTGTCAGAAAAGAATCCTATATAATAAAAGGGTAATATGCAAATTGACAGAATGGTGGAACGACCAGTCGCTATGACACACACTGACCACCAGGGGACAGGTGCTCAACACAGGTGTTGCCCCCTGGTAGTCAGTGTGCTCCCACAAGCCGGGCTGATGGCTGGCGAGCACGGTGGCAATGGTGTCAGTCAAACCGGGCTGAGAAGACCCTCCACCCCTAAGTGCATGAATGTCATGCACCAGGCTTCTAGTATAAAATAATTACATGCAACATATATAAATAAACTAAAAGCCAAGGGACAATAAAGAACCACCAAACAGATTTAAAAAACAAAAGAAGAGCTCAGCCCACGTGGCTCAGCTGGTTGAACGCTGTCCTGTGCACCAAAGGGCTGCTGGTTCAATTCCTGGTTAGGGCACCATCCCTGGTCGGGGCATCTACTAAAGGCAACAGATCAAAATCAATCTCTCTCTCTCCCCCCGCCCCCCGCCCCTTTCCTCCTCTAGTGAGGATTGAACGAATGAACGAACAAACCAAATAGAATTCTCAAGAATGAAAAATACAGTAAACAAAATTTAAAAACCCAATGGAAGACTAAAATGTAATCAGACACAACTAATAAGGGAATTAATAAAACCCCTGTACTGATCACGCAGCTCCAACAATTATCAGCTCATTGCCAGTCTTTTCATCTACCCCAGCTGCCCCAGGCATTGCTGCTACTGAGAATATCACTTGTTCTAATAGTTACACCTTTACAGGTAGTTTTGTTTTGTTTTTTCCTGGCTGCTTTAAACCCTGTTTTAGCCTTTCTCAATCTGCCCTTCATGTTTCTTAGCTTTGCTTTTGTACTTTCTATTTATTTGTCTCTCTGGATTCTTTTTCCAGTTGTTTTAAAATCTGTCTTGTTCCATAAATTTTACTTAGAAACCATGTAAGTATTTTACAGAGTTATAAATGAACCAGGGTTCCTTGCACAAATGGCTGACCCCGGGTCTAGAGCAGAAACGTACAAGATGAACATGGAATAATAAAAATATTTTGTCAAAAAAAAGGGGAAGAATGGAAGCTTTACTAGTAAAAGACGACATGAGTCATGCAAAAGGACCCAGGAACCGAAATTAGAAAGCTCCCACTGGTCAAAAATGGAGCGATTTGGGCATCAATTTGAGTAACAACTCGAATGGACTGAAACATACATAATTTCCTTATCCACCCTACTGTTGATAGACATCTGATTTATTTCCAGTTTTTAGCTATCATGAGCAATGCTGTTATGAATATACATCTATCCTAATACACACACGTCTTTCTAGGATATATCCTGAGTTGGAGAATTTCAGGGTCTTAAGACTTCTATCTTCAACTTTATTGGGTAAGGTCAATCTGTTTTGTGCTTGTTTAACCTTTGGTCTCTTAAAAGAGACACAGGAGAACACTACATACTGTAAGTATATTGTCATCTACCCTCTATATCACACTGTTCATCAAAATGCCTTACGAGAACCTGTTATTGGTCCAGTTTGTAACTATTTTGGAATTATTTTTGGGAAATGAATGCCATGAATACCAGTTCTGTTACCTACTGAATATTTGAACATGCTATGCTGATTTACCATGGTGCCAACATAATAGTAAAACAGTACAGCTTACTGGAAAAACACAAAAAGTAACTATTAAAAGTTATTGTTTTTGGATGGGCCCTTCGATAATTAAATTTGCAGACTTTATAATGATTACAAAAGTATCTGATAGGGTGAGCACCTCTAGGTTACCACTGCAGCACACTGGGTTAAATCTAACTCTATGCTGCATAAGCTGAGATTTCATTTTTTCTAGGAAGACAGTATTAGTTTGTAGTAACAAATCTAAACAGAAGTTTATCAATCACAGTTTAGGAAAACTAACAAATGTTTACTGAAAAGAATAGTTAAAACATGTGTGTCTTAAATATAAATGATACCATCTTCCTGTATTCCTAAACCAACTAAATGATATTCGATTTATGGCAAAATCAGAAAGTAAACTTCCAGCTCAATTAAAATGAGAAAGTATAAAAACAAGTCACTACGACATGGTTCAACAAATTATATACATAAATGGATAGGAAGGTGGGTGGATGGAAGAAAGAGAGGAAGGGAAAGAAGGAAGCAGAGAGCAGATAGGGCAAAATATATTTAGCGAATCCAGGGTGTTCTTTAAACTATTCTGGCAACTTTATGTAAATGTAAAGTTTTTCAAAGTAAAAAATTGAAGAGAAAGATTATCTAGAAGAATATATGCCAAAATGTTGATACTCTATGAATTACAAAACTACAAGCAGTATTTTTATTTTTTAAATATATTTTTATTGATTTCAGAGAGGAAGGAAGAGGGAGAGAGAGATAGAAACATCAATGATGAGAGAGAATCATTGACTGGCTGCCTTCTGCACGCCCCCTACTGGGGAACAATCCCGCAACCCAAGCATGTGCCCTTGACTGGAATCGAACTCGGGACCCTTCAGTCCACAGGCCAATGCTCTATCCACTGAGCCAAACTGGCTAGGGCTACAAACAGTATTTTTAAATTGCTGTTAATCTGGATCTTTCTACAATAATCACGTATCATTTATGTAATAAAAAAAGGAAAATGTTCTAATTTAAGCTAAAAAAAATACTGGATGCCACCTGCATATACTTACACATCCACAGGAATCCGGTCCCCCATTGAAAAGGGAACAAGCTATCCTCACAATCTCTGCTTCTATCTTCCGGAGTCCTGGGAAGATATCTGGATGCAGGGGATTACTCCATGCAAAATCTCCATAAGCCTGCAAAGGAATGCAAGCAGATATGAAGCAAGACAATTAAGCTGTACAGAACAATCATACACTAAACCAAAATTTCTAGGTATTAGGCACAACATTAGACACTGGAAAATGGTAGACTATGTCCCCCAACCTAAAGAAGATCAAATTACAGTGGAGGAGACACACAGGAAAAGAAATTATTTTACAATGCGGTAGGAGAGGAAGTATGATGTGGTTAAAAGCAGACTACAACGCCAAGCAGCCTCAGGTAGAAGGTTAAGCTTTGCCTGTCACTTCTAGCTGTGTAATCTCAGGACAAATAACCTCTGAGGCTCAGTTTTCTCATATGCTAAAAGGGTAATTAAGGTGCTGATCTGATAGGGTTCTGGCGATAAGCAAATAACAGAACACACTGCAAAGCACTTAGTAGAGTGTCTGGCACAAAGCAGCCGTTGTTCTATGTGCAATGCCAGCTGTGTGTGCGCGGGAAGGTAGGGGCCTTAAGGAGGGAATAATGAGCATCCTGAGTGGTCTGGAGGTGTCTGCTGAGCGGAACCCTGAGAGAAATAGGAATTCACATTCACAACAGGCGGAGTGAAGGGCGAAAAGCGAACAACGTAAGAGCAAGGTGCGCTCTGTAAAAAGAAAAGGCACCGGTAGTGTTTGCATGGGAAAGTAGTAGGAGTGTTTGCCAAAAGTATGGGAGCTGGCTCACGGAGGGCCTTGGCATTCTCTGCCTCATAAGCAGCTTGTGTTTTATCCTGTAGATGACAGGAAGCCACGGAAGCATTTTTAAACGTGGAAATAAGGTTGGAGCATTATGTCAAGATACAGCTGAGCAAAACCTATACTTAGTACGGTATAAGCCGTCTGATCATAATAATCAAACACAAAGATCGCAGAGACCATCAGTCAATGCCGATTTTATATGGCAAAGTGGGATTTCAAAATTAAATCTGACTAGAAATGGAAGATGCTAAAGACAATTCTAAAGTCAACAAAAATGAGAAGTACTTTCATTATAAGTGAAACCACACTCATTCTCAGATCATCTGATTTGAGAGTCAGGTAGTATCGGAAATTATAACCAAGTTTCTCTCCCATGTCTCTTCTTATCAAACAAAATGTGTCTTAATATTAATCTCAAACTCTGGGCATACCTTCCCTGTTAATCTGCCTTCTACACAGGGTGTCAATAAAGCCTGCACACATAAACAATATTTTACTTTATTACAGACTGAAGATGTCTTTGACAGTATTGTATGTGTTCACCTGTTTGGGTGAAGAGAAACTGTCTACACTTTCATTTAATTACAAAGTAGACAGCAATGAGGTACTATAAACTGGCACAGACCACCGCACTCCCCTCGAGTCCCGGGCATCACCTTCACGAGGAGCTCGGTGAGCTTCTCCTCCCCACTGTACACCGCTCCGGAGGCTCGCCCTTCCTGCCACATGACGTCTGCAGAGAAAGTTAACATCACTGGGTCAGTAAGCAGAAAGTTTTAGGAGGACAGGTAGGGTCTAAAAAGAAGAAATGCAAAGAAAGTCCTTTGAGTACAAAAGAAAAAAAAATTTTGAGTAGAAATCCAAAGGTGTCTTTATATTATATCAAGAAAGAAAAAATCCATTACAGCTACCACAGCAAAATAAAGGTCATCAATTAGTATCAACATATGAAAAAGATACCCACAGCACTTAGTACAATAAAGTCCAGTAAGTATGCTGTCCTCTTCCCCTGCCGGGGTCCAGCCCCAGCAGGTCCAGGGGTTCCCCAAAGGTGTGGACGGAGTCGGCGAAGAAGGAATGACACGGAGACAGCGTTCAGTTGATCAGCAGCCTAGCCAGGATCTCTAGCCAGGATCTCCAGCCAAGTTCTGGTCTGGATCTCCAGCGAAGTTCTGCTTAGGATCTCCAGCCAGGTTCTGTCATCAGGTTCTAGTCAGGTTCTCTTGCCAATTTCTGTAGTCAGGTTCAGTCCAGGATCTTTTGCCATGTTCTCTCGCTAGGTTCTGTCTCTAGGTTCTGAGGCCAGTTTCTGTCCAGGAACTTTTGCCATGTTCTCTCCAGCGAAGTTCTTCTGTCTCCAGAGAACGTTCTGTGTAGGTTCTGTGCCTAGGTTCTGTCTCTCTTGGTTCCGTATTCTAAGTTCTGTGTAGGTTCTGTCTTCTTAGTTCTGCCTTCTAAGTTCTGTGTTCTAAGTTCTGTCTCTTGCTGTCTTGTTACATCTGTATTTATACCAGTTGATTCAATCCTATCAATCTCTATTACAAAGGTTAGGGTGTTTCTTATCTCCATTCCAGGGAGTAAAGATTATGTAGCTTATGCATGATTGTTCGTAGTTAAAGTGATTAATTACCCGCCTGGCACTTAGTTGAGGGGTTTTATTCCCTCCCTAACTTCAGGGGAAAATCCCTACCTGGGGAAACAACCTTTCTCAGAGACCTTGGTTAAAACACATAGTGCCAAGAAGGTGAGCAAACATATTAAGAACAGTATGCCATATATGCCGGGTCCCTTGAAACAGCAAGCATGGACCGGCTCCCGGCATTCCCCAACTGCCTTCTCGCAGCAGAAACTTTTCCCTCCATCTATATATCATTCTATGTTCTCTGCAGGGCTCAGCTTGCCCTTGTCAGCAATGCTTCCTTCTTCCTTCCCGCCCTTCCGATCTAGTCCTAGGGAGTGTGGGGACTGTTATGAGCAGAGGTGGCAGAGAAAAAGTGAAACTGCAGTACAGTCAGGAGGGTTGGAGTCAGGGAATTGAATCCATGGCCACACAAGCCACAATGAGACAGCTTAGCCTCAGGGCCCCTCCTTCAGACAGAGTCTGGAAACCCACCCAGAATTAGCCACCTGCTTCCAGCAACATCTGCTGCTCCATCCAGGATCAGAACAGTCAACATTGGGGTAAAGCTCACCAGAAAGATTCCTGACCAGAATACAAGGCCCACCTTTCCATCTCCTGCCTGAGGTTCCACATCACACACTCTCCATTATACCAACAAATGTGTGAATGTGGGTGTCTGGGTCCTTTTGCTACAATATGGCTGTGCCCTGTTGAAAGTGAGTAGTAGTCGCTGTAGTCACTAAAAGTGACTGTAGTCATGGGCTCCACAAAACAAAGATCTTCAGCTCCAATGAAAGGGCAGAGGACTGAGTAGTGAATATCCAGACTAACCCCTCAATCTCACCAACCTGCCAAACTCTGCTTTGCTGCCAGCTTGACTTCCCTCTTTCCATAGAGGACCCTGCTCTGTACCAGGTGTATGTTCAGGCCAGAGGCCACCAGACTTTCAAAATTAGGATACCTGGTTTCATTTCCTGTTCATTTACTGCTGTTACAGAGTATACTAGTGGATGGTGACTTAAAAATGGAAGGGAAGGCAGCAGCCAGACCTCATCATCACAGAAACCCTTAATATACAGGTCTCAGAGTGCTAATTCCTACTTTATATCATCTACAAATCCTGGACTGTACCTACTTTTGTACCAGCCAATGTTAAAAGTTCAACATATTGCATTTAACATTTTTAAATGTATTTTTGATTTTTAAAATAGATTTTTATTGATTTCGGAGAGGAAGGGAGAGGGAGAGAGAGAGAGAAACATTAATGATGAGAGAGAATCATTGATCGGCTGCCTCCTGCATGCCCCTTACTGGGGATCAAGCCCGTAAAGCTTGTGCCCTTGACTAGAATCAAACCCGGGACCTTTCAGTCCACAGGCCAACAGACTCTATCCACTGAGCCATACCAGCTAGGACTAAAATGTATTTTTTAAATGCAACATGGTATCCTGGGCTGGGTCCTAGAACATAAAAAAGGACATTAGTGGGAAAACTGGTGAAATCAGAAGAGAATTTGTAGTTCAGTTAATAGAACTGTACCAATGTTAATTTTTAGTTTTGACAAATGTTATTTTAAATGTTAAAATCAGGAGAAGCTGGATAAGGGATAGATGGGAAATCTATTATCTTTGCAAATTTTCTATAAATTATCCCAAACTAAAAAGCCTACTTTAAAAAAGTATTCATAATATGACTTTAATGTGTAACAAACATGCATTTGTGTTAATAATTAACATTTATTGAGCACTTACTATATACCAGGTATTATCCATTTACATGTATAATCTTATTCAATCTCTATAATCATCCTTTCAAATAAGTATTCCCATTCCCATTGCAGAGAGACAGAAGTTGAAGCATAGAGAAATTAAGTAAGTCACTCATTTTTATTACACATACTATCTTTTCAAAGAACAAATGTATCTGTTTTTCTCAGGCTTACAAAAGGAAACGGAACCAAGTTCCACTGTCTGAGATTTGTTTGTTTTATGGATGAAGATGAATCTAAATATAAATTTTAAAATATGAAAGTCAACGTTTGAGACAGGCCCTTCTGAGCATTTACATATCTGGATGAACCTTTCTTTTCTTCTCTTGCACATGTGAGAGAGAGGGTGAGGCTGAGTGTGTGTCTGAGAGAAAGAGAGAGAGAGAGAGAGAGAGAGAGAGAGAGAGAGAGAGAGCGCGCGCGCGCGCAGGATGAATTGTTCTTAACTTCACAAACATTAACTGGCCGCCCAGCCAGGTTACTGAAGTAGGTAGCATGCATGTGCAGAGAGTCATACCCATAGAGCTGTACTCCTTGAGCTTCTCCAGAACTTCAGACGAGCTCAGACCTTGAGAGGGCAGAACCTTCACATACTCCTTATCCACTTTCAGAAATGACATGTTCTTGATAATATCATCCTTGACCTTGTTCAACTCATCTTGGATCTCCAAAGGTAAGAAAGACAAAGTTAACAAGGAGGCGGAAGAATACAGTATAGAGAAGAACCAGTTGTGACACTAAGTCAACTGCCAAAGGCTGGGCACCACACAAACACTACAGAAAAAGGAGGGTACTTTTTTCTTAAAGAGAGATGATGACAGTTTGTGCAACTACTTTCTGGCATGTGCAACAGTTTCTTAGAAATCTGAAAAGTTGACTTTTTCTCTGAAGGTCAAAGATGCACTCGTTCCCCCCCGCCACCCCATGTCAACATCACCACTGCTCTACTTGGTTTGCATTTGCTAATGTCAGCACTTCTTTGAGGGCAACATTTGAACCTTGTTCCTGCCCTGGCAGCAGCTAGTGTGTCCGCTAAAGAAACAAAGGTAGAGCCACGAACAGTCACCAGAAAACGGGCCAAACAGCAGTAAAATGGACTCTGGTGCTTGTCCAAGTGATGAACTCCTTCAAAAGACAGGTAGAGAGCACAGGGGGCTTCTGGAGGCCCTGCACACCTCCCCCCACGTAAGCTCAAGCCACCCTGGGAAGTGCCAGGAAGACAGCATTCTATCCCTCAAGCTGGCCACAGCTTGTAACCAAAGTGCTCACTCAAAATAAATAACTTGTCTCTGAGCCTCAAAATCTGCTTCTAAAATATGAAAGGTGATTCATTATATAGTTTCTAAGCCCCTTGCAATTCTGTTAGTTCATAAATCTAAGAATAGGTTCTGAAACCCTAGCACTGTCTCAAAATATGAAATTGAAAGAGAAAAAAACATGAAGAAAAATAAGGGCAGGAAAAATATAGGGACTGAAAAGGGGAAATGCTATTATCCTTAATGAGCCAGTCCATCCATTATATCTTCCCTCTTCCCTGACCCCTTATTCTATAAGGACCAAAGCAGATTTAATTTGGGGGCTTAATGTAATTTGGAGTAAAATAAAAGCCTATGTATCTACTCTCATGCCCCATCTCCACCCCAGTTATTACTTCTACTTCCCCACAGGAAATGAACTTGATAATACATAGTTGGGAGTGTTTATATAGTGCTCTGAATGGATTTCAGTTAAAGGCTAAAGATAACTGACATCATTGCTGGTCTGGCCAGAAAAGGGAATTGAAAGCCAAAAATAAAAGAAAGATTGATGAGAAGCTGAGGTGAAGGGCAGGATACTGGAGGAGATGAAGACATCAAGAACTCATTTGCTTCCTTAAAGCTTGCAATGGGGCCTGCCCTGTTTATCTTCATCTGTGATAAAAAGGAAGGGTACAGAGGTGACTGTTTTATCCTCAGTGAGGGTGAGGGCAGAGAAAATACAGTAAAGGGAACATACTAGACTATGGATAGGTACAAAGAGCAAGAGAATAGCTCTGTTATCGAAGTTTCTAAACCTGGGATCAGCAAACTACAACCCAAATCTGGCCTACGCCTATTTTTGTAAAGAAAGCTCCCTGGAATACGGCCAGGTGCATTCCTCTACCTATGATCCTGTTGCTGCATTCCCTCTGCAAGGGCAGAGTTGAGGAGCTGTGACACAGTATGGCCTACAAAGCCTAAAATGTTTCATATCCAGCCTTTACAGAGTTTGCCAACCTTGATCTAAACCACATAAGCACTCAACCCCCACATAAATAACTACAATCAGCCCAGCAAATATTGCTCCAGAGCATCATGTCACTTCTGTCAAGTTTTCTAATTTCAAATTCTTGACAGACATCTCCTTTCTCCTTTAGTCACATATGTTGCAGAAAAGGTTAAGGTTTCTCGATCTTGGAGATTCTGACATGTTGAGCCATAATCCTCTGCTGTGTGCAGGGGTGGTCCTGTGCATTGTATGTAGGAAGTTTAAGCAGCATCCCTGGCCACTACCCACTAAATGCCAACAGCATTCCTCTCCAGCTGTGATAACCAGAAATGTCTCCGAACATTATCAAATGTTCCTTGGAGGTGGAGGACACAAACACACCTCCCCCTTGAGAATACCAGGTTCAGTCAATAAAAGGAAAGAGGTATGACGATGGGGGTGGGTAGGGGAGGAAGATCTATACAGATCCCACTTACCTTGCGACCAATAATAGGCATCTTCCTGATGAGCTTAAAGCATTTCTTTTTAAACCTTGACCATAAACCTAAAAGAAACAAATGGTTCTATTATCGATGGATACAACATGCTAGTCACAGTGCACGAACTATTCGGGTATGTCCTCTGCAACCCCATTTGCCCTCAGGTCACAAAGGTAGAGTTTCTTTCCATAAAAAAAAAAAAAAAAAAAAAAACACTTTTAATTTAAGTAAGTTATATGATTACATGGCTTAAAAAGTAAAAAATAAATAAATGTATGCACACAGAGTTAAAAGTTTCTCATCTACCCCCAGACCTCATCCTAGCCCCATGAAAACACTGCTACTAGTTTCTAAAATACCCTTCTAGAATTTCTTTATGCATATACAAGCAAGAATAAAGATCTATTCTTATTTGTCTCTATTTTTACACAAAAGGTAGCAAGCATATTCTAGCACTGTACTAGAACTTCTTCTACTTAGAAATATTTTCTTCTAGCCTGTGTTGCTCAGTGGTTGAGCATCAACCTATGAATCAGGAGGTCAGGACACATCTCCAGTCAGGGCATATCCCCAGTAGGGGGCATGTAGGAGGCAACCAATCAATGATTTTCTCTTTCATCATTGATGTTTCTCTCTTTCCCTCTACCTTCCTCTCTGAAATCAATAAAAATATTTTTTCTTAAAAGATTGGTGCTACCTCACTCATTTTTTATAGCTGTAGAGTATTTCATTATATGTATTGCCATAATTTACTTAACCTGCCCCTTTCCTGATGGACACTTAGGTTGTTTCTAGTATTTGCTATTACAAACCATGCTAAAATAAACTTTATAACACATACCGTACTCCATACATACAAGAATACCTACAGGATAAATTCCCAGAAACAGGGCTGCTTGGTCAAATGACATACGTATTCCAGAATTTTCTACCTTCTCAAGGTTTACAGAGGTCCAACATTTCTCTTCCCTCTCTGAAAACAAATGACCAATGCTTGCTTTTTTTCAGGACCTAGACTCGTCTCTCATTCAACATATATCCTAACAACACTGTCTGGACCTAAAAAGGCCTCCAATACCATTACATCACTCAGTCTCCATTCTGTTGGCCAGTACATAAGGCAAATACGGAATTCTGATCCTGTTAATGACAGTAATTACAAATACATGGCATCGAAATAGACTATTCTACCTTTAATGAATTCACATTCACTACATCTAATTGACTCAGACAACAAGATTTTGAGGTTGGCACAGGAGGTAGGTACTACATACTATCCAAAGGCAACAATGGGTGAAAGCATTAATAACTTGCTCAAGGCCACAGATCAAATTGGTGATGGAGCAGGGATTTAAGTGAAGTCTTTGTTTTTCTAGTCCGAGACTCCCAGGACTCTATGCTGCTTCAAATGCACAACAGAAATGTTCAGTTACCCCAAATGTGTATAAGGAATCTATACTGAGCTTTCGTACAGGGCATGAACTGAACATGAACTTTTACTGCATTGCTAGGAGATCTGGGCATTCCAACTTCTCTGGCCACAAGGAGTGTGCTCTCAACAACAGAATGTGTGTGTACCTTCTTTCAGTCATTATATAAAGTCTTGCATCTTGCTGTTTTTGCTTAGTTGCATCCCTGTCTTTCCACCTCACTCTATGGTTAACTCTCTATAAATGACTGGGACAAAAGCCGGTAGTTAAGACACAGACTGAATAAGAAGACAAAAAGACTAAAACCTCTTACCTGTAGTTACTTTTTTGTTTACATTTTGAAGTATTTCCTTTCAGTCCCATGTTCTACACATTGTAATATGTAACTGAGATCTTATTGTATATACAATATTGTATACTCTTCTCACTTAAAGCATTTTCTACATTAATAAAAATAGTCCATCAAATGAGTATAACTTAGTATTGGATATTTAAACTGCTTGTTATTTGTCTATAGTTGACCCTTGAACAACATAGGTTTGAACTGAATGGGTCCGCTTATATGCAGATTTTTTAAAATAAATATACAGCACTCTGAATCCCCAGATTTCCAATCTGCTGTGAATCACAAACAGTACTTTTGATCGCAGTTGGGAAATCTGCAGCTGAGAAGGACTAACTACATGCATTGTTCTAGCCAGTGATGGCGAACCTTTTGAGCTCAGTGTGTCAGCATTTTGAAAAACCCTAACTTAACTCTGGTGCCGTGTCACATGTAGAAATTTTTTGATGTTTGCAACCATAGTAAAACAAAGATTTATATTGTTGATATTTATTTTATATATTTAAATGCCACTTAACTAAGAAAAATCAACCAAAAAAATGAGTTCGCGTGTCATAGGTTCGCCATCACTGTTCTAGGCCATCTATAATAGTAAAAGTATAATATGCAAATCGACTGAACGGCCGAACAGTGAAACGACCGTCCGGATGATCCTTCCAGACGAAGCTGGGGCTGCGAGGGCCGAGACCCTTGCACGAATTTTGTGCATCGGGCCTCTAGTTTTATATAAGGGACCTGAGCATCCACTAATTCTGGTATCCGTGGGGAGTCCTGGGACCAATTGAAGATAGCGAGGGACTGTAGTTAAGTTTTGGGGGAATCAAAAGTTATACATGGGCCCTAGATGGTGTGCTCAATGGTTAGAGCGCTGGCCTGCTCATTGAAGGGTCTCAGGTTTGATTCCTGATCAAGGGCATGCATCTGGGTTGCAGATTTGATCCTAGAGGCAACTAATCTAAGTGTCTCTCTCTCTGTCTTTCACCCCCTCCCACTCATCCCTTCCTCCCTTCCACTCTCTCTAAAAAGCAATGGAAATAATATCCTCAGGTGCGGATTAACAACAAAAAAAAAGTTACACATGGATTTTCGACTGTGCAGGGGTCAGTCCCCCTAATCCCATGTTGTTCAAGTGTCAACTGTACCTCTAGCCATGTTAAAGCTGTAAAGATTCAGAACCACTTTCTTATTTCATAAATGAAGTAGTAATTAATGAGGTGGAAAGAGGTCCACAAATTAGCAAACTGATTCAGGTGTCCAAAAGTATAGTAATGCGACTAGATAGGGAAGAAAGAATAGACTAATTTGGTGAAAGGTGAAATGAAATGGTACAGGGTAAAAAGAACAGAATACAGGATCAGAGATGGAGACATTAAAATGAGAAGACCATGTGGTCACGATCTAAAAAGATGATCTCGAAAGTAAAAGTCCCCAGAAGTACAGAAAGAAAAGTAATTAGAATACGTTAAGGTAATAAAATAGAAAATGTCAATGTAAGAAAATCAATGCATGGCTCTTCACAGTTTACAAATTCCTTCCACACAAATTATGCCACTCAATCCTCGTATTATCCTATGATTAGGTAAAGCAGGTATTTTTATGCTCAATTTATTGTGAGGAAACAGGCTACGAGAACTTAAGGGTGTTGTCAGGGCTAGAAACTGGGAGAGTTGATCACACTCTCCTACCGCATAACTGATTTCTGTTGATGAACTACTGACAATCAGTTAAAGGCAGCATCAAGTGATAAGAATTTGAGCAGATAATGACACAGCATAAAGAAGGAAGAGAGAACACCTTAGAGAGCTGCTACCCCTTGCCCATCCTCCCACCGGTTCCTGCTGCTGCTTGTTCTTATCTACCCTGGCATCCATTCTGTGTTCTAGAATTACCCTTTCCCTCAGAAAAGTATTCAGAGTTTCAGTATTAGCAAAGTTTATCACTAGTCCAGACTTCAGACTCCTCTAGGGCAGTATACTAAAAATAACTTGATTGTTCAGTGGTATGTAGAATACTTCTCTACATGAGCAAGTTTCTGAAAAAAACATGGCATTGCTATCAAAATGATCTCCAATGTCTGGAGGGAAGACAAATATTTTTATATGTCTAAAATTCAAGTTGGAAGTTACAAAACAAAAAGTGTGCTGTGTGTATATATATGCATAAAACTATGAAATTGCCAACATTCAACAATTTTTGACCTACAGAAACTACATTTTGTATGGATACGTAATATAGACACAAACAGTGGTTAGATCTAGGTAGCAAAATTTTAATTTTCTTATTATGGCTTACCTATGTCTGATTTTCTACAATGAACATATACTTCTGTAATAATAAAAAATAGGCTATTAAAAATAAAACAACTGAAATGGCTTGAATTGAGCTCACAAAGATCTAGGTGCACCCTGCTACTATGAATTTCCTCATGGAATGCTTCGGGGCCAGCACATTCTTTTTGGAACACTAAAGGCAGTAAGTATCAGGACCTAGGATGCTCTGCTTCTACCAGTTAAGCAAAATGTACATGAGCACTGTGGGCTGCAGAACTGGAAGTAGAAGTAAACACCTAAAGCTAATACTAATTATAGCAAAGGAATACAAATCTCTAACCTTGTCTGTTTTTACAAATGCACTACCTTAAAAGGAAAAGTATATAGAATAGTGGCTATCAGGAGCTGGGGAGAGGAGGGTATAGGGAGCAATTGTTTAACGGGGACAGAGTTTCCATTTAGGATGATGAAAAAGCTCTAAAGAGGGATGGTGGTGATGGGTGCACAACATTGTGAATGTAATACCCCTGAAATGTACATTTTTAAAATGGGGAAAATGGGAAATGTTATCTCATGATCTATATACTAGAGGCCCGGTGCACAAAATTCGTGCACGGGGGGGTGGGGGTGGGGGGGAGATCCCTCAGCCCGGCCTGCACCCTCTCCAGTCTGGGATCCCTTGGGGTCGGGATCAGGCCTAAACCGGCAGTCGGACATCCCTCTCGCAATCTGGGACCACTGGCTCCTAACCACTCACCTGCCTGCCTGCCTGATCACCCCTAACTGCTCTCCCCTGCGGGCCTGATCACCCTTAATCACCTGTGCCTCGGCCCCTGCTATCATGGCTTTGTTTGGAAGGACAACCAGAAGATGTCCGTTCAACCCAGTCTAATTAGCATATTACCCTTCATTAGTATAGATATAAAAGCCTAAGCGACTGGCCAACCAGCTGACCGGCTGGTAGCTATGATGCACAATGACCACCAGGGGGCAGACACTCAACACAGGAACTGCAGAGCAACAGCAACTTTGCAGAGTGCCCTCTCGAACTCCAGGACCCCTTGGAGGATGTCGGACTGCCAGTATCGGCCCGATCCCCACAGGCCAGGCCGAGGGACCCCACTGGTGCATGAACACATGCACTGGGCCTCTAGTAATAAAATAAAAGAACCCTGGCCAATTGCTCAGTGGTTAGAGCACTAGCCCTTGGACCAAAGTGTTGCTGGTTCGATTCCAGGTCAAGGGCATGAACCTCATCGTAGGCTTGATCCTGGCCCCGGTCAGGGAATATGCAGGAGGCAACCAATTGATGTTTCTCTCTCACATCGATGTTTCTTTCTCTGTCTCTCCCCCTCTCTTCCACTGTCTCTGAAAATCAATGGGAAAAATATATTTGGGTGAGGATAAAAAAAAGAAAGAAAGATGGGAGGGAGGGAGGGAGGGAGGGAGGGAGGGAGGGAGGGAGGGAGGGAGGGACGGACGAACGAACGAAGGAAGATTTATTGCTACTCCTGAAAGTCCTATGGAATAGGCCACTTCACCTGGAAGGATAAGCTGGTGGGTACCACTGAATCAAAGGCTTCCTGGGTTCATGGATTAGTAGGATTAATATCATTAAAATGTACATACTACCCAAAGCAATCTATACTTTGATGCAATCCTTACCAAAATACCAATGGCATATTTCACAGATCTAGAACAATACTCCAAAAATGTATATGGAACCAAAAAAGACCCCAAATAGCTGCAGCAATCTTGAGAAACAAGAACAAAGTTGGAGGAATCATAATACCAGATTTGAAGTTATACTACAAAGCCACCATAATCAAAACAGCCTAATACTAGCACAAGAATAGGCACAAAGATCAATGAAACAGAACAGAGAACCCAGAAAATGACTTAAGCGATATGCTCAATTAATATTTGACAGAGGAGGCAAGAGCATACAATGGAGTAAAGGCAGTCTCTTCAATAAATGCTGCTGGGATAATTGGACAGGTACTTGCAAAAAAATGAAACTAGACCACCAACTTACACCATACACAAAAATAAACTCAAAATGGATAAAAGACTAAATGGAAGTCATAAAACCATAAAACTCGTAGAAGAAACCGTAGACAGCAAAATATCAGACATCTCAAGGAGAATTTTCACCAATATATCACCTAGGACAAGAAAAACAAAGGAAGAAAAAAAAAACAAATGGGATTATATCAAACTAAAAAGCTTCTGCACAGCAAAAGAAACCAGCATCAAAATGAAAAGGGACCCATTGTATGGGAGAACATATTTGCCAATAATACATCTGATAAGGGTTTAATTTCCAAAATATGTAAAGTACTCTTACAACTCCACAAAAGGAAGACAACCCAATTAAAAAATGGGCAGAAGACCTGAATAGACATTTCTCCAAAGAGGACAGACACACAGATGGCCAAGAGACATATGAAAAAATGCTCAGTCACTAATCATTAGAGAGATGCAAATTAAAACAACAATGAGGTACCACCTCACACCTGCCGGAATGACTATCAGTAAATCAACAAACAGCAAGTACTGGCTAGGATGCGAAGAAAAAGGAACCCTAGCACACTGTTGGTGGGAATGCAGACTGGCACAACCACAATGGAAAACAGTGTGAAGTTTCCTCAAAAAATTAAAAATGGAACTGCCATTTGACCCAGTGATACCACTGCTAGGAATATATCCCAAGAAACCAGAAACACTAATCAGAAATAATATATGCACCCCTATGTTCACAGCAGCGTTATTTGCAATAGCTAAGATTTGGAAACAGCCCAAGTGCCCATCAGTAGATGATTTAAAAACTGTGGTACATTCACACCATGGAATACTATACAACTGTAAAAAATAGGGATCTCTTACCTTTTGAGACAGCATGGAGGGACCTGGAGAGTATTATACTTAAGCAAAATAAGCCAGTCAGAGAAAGACAAGTATCACATGCTCTCAGTTATATGTGAAATCTAATGAACAAAATAAACTGATGAACAGAAAAGATCCAGACATTGAAACATACAACAGACTGGCATATTTCAAAGGGTGTAGGGGAGGCAGGGGGAAAGCAGGAAGAGATGAACCAGTGAACTTATATGCATATATACATAGCCCAGGGACAGACAACAGTGTGGGGAAGGCCTGGGTGGAGGGGGCTAATGGGGATAAAAAGGGGAACGTCTGTAACACTTTCAACAATAAAGATAAACTTAAAAAAAAAAAAGGTTCCCAGAAAGGAATAAGCCTGAGCAAAAAGACAAGGACTGTGTCCATTTCCAAACCACAGAGCAGACACAGCCTGGGACTAGCACAAGTACAGGCACTAACAGGGTTAGTCTATCTACGTTTTCAGAGTTTGAGGAAAGCCTGCAAAGACTAGGAACAGAAACTGAGGACTGGGTGTTTAAAGCTGGAGTGAACTAATTTTACTATGCAATGTTACAGAATGGCTCAATGGCTATTTGCATGATAGAAATAAAACAGAATCTAGCTTCTAATTTGATTTTCCTGGAGGGAGAGAAAGAAAAGCAGAAAAAATAGTTAAAGAGCTCCTTCAAACAAATGTGATCAGGGAAAAAAAGGTAGTTGTTGAAATTTTAGACATATGAGAAATGACAAGCAAATTCCTTCAATGTTAATGGTTTCTTATCCCAAGGAAGTTAAACTGGGATACCCTAATAAGGTAGGAAAGGGATTCAGGAGTGCTACAGAACACCCACCACCACTCCTACCATTTACTTCCCAAGCACAAAGTTCAGGGGAAAACAATTAACATGGAGGAAATATGTAATCAGGTTGGGGGGGGGTTCTTTTTGCGGAGGGGGGGCGTGGGGAGGGTAAGCAGGACCTTAGGAAGGATGTAGAATTTACAAACTGATGGCTAAAAGACTTCTCATCTTCTACACTCTAGAGAAGTGGCTTCCTCTTCCCCATATCAATTAGCTCCCTGAGGCACTGCCCAGGAAGCTCAAAGTGCACTGTCTCCTGATATCAGAAGGTCAAGTCCAAGAGACAGGGCCCTCTATCACTTATTTAGATATCCCCAGAGCCTAGCACAGTGCCTGGTACACAGCAGACACTGAAATGATCATTGTATGGGTGCTGTTTCAATTTCACCTAATCTTGAAAGGATGGCCTAAAATTAAAGCAATGATTCCTACTTTGGGAGGTCCAGGCGGCACAATTACGTTCTAGCCTAGAAACTAAAACTGAAGAAGATTTACGCCGCACTCAGATATCTGTGATCCTTACAATGACTAATTTCTCACGAGTTTTTATGTAAGTTGCAAATCCAGAAAAATCAACATACTAGTAAGCAGTAATAGTTACACAAGATTCCTATTATAATAAGACTTTGCCAATCAGAAGACAATGTCTCACTTCCCATTAAATTTTAAAAACCGGAACAAAACTAAAAGGCAAGGAATCAGTCATCATCACTATGAGTTTCAAAGCTAGTGAGCCTCCACTGTTTCTTTACAGAGAGGACGTATACTTACTCTCCGGTTGGAAGACAAACTCATATACCCAGACTACCAGCAGGGTCCACACGACACTCCATGCAATTAGCTGCCAGGGCTCATATTTGGTGCAATGACCATTTACGTAATTCTTGGCCTTTGTGGAATATACTTCCAAAATCTCGAAGTAGGGCTCAAAGGCCTTCTAGAAATACAAGAGAAAAAAAGAAATATTACATTCAGAGAGAGAAAGGAAAACTCCGTTCCTAGTTTTTCTTCAACACTCATCTTTCAAGGGCAAGGACATTCATAATCTGGCCCCACCCCAGCAATAACCTCATCACCCAAAGCTCCTGCCCCTTTCACTCCGGGGAGCACTGCCCTGTGAGTCCTGTGGACTTTGACAAGATTTCTGATCTTCTATCTACTCTGTAAAGTACAAGGATAAGCTACATCATCATTTCAGCTCTAACGCTTCAGCATGACTACAGTATTCACTGTCCCACTCAACTCAAACATTCATTCTCAATATGGATGTCTTTCTCCTCTTCTCGACTTTATCTGAATTTCTCCCACCTTCTGTCCAGGATTTGGCAGACTGTTGCTATAAAAGGCCAGAATAAGCACTGTGGGCATCGCAGGCCAAGAAGTGTCTGTTACAGCGATGCCGCTCTGCTGTTGTAGCACAAATGCAGTCAGACAGTGGGTACACAAAAGAACGTGGCTGTGTTCCAACAATATTTAATTACAGATGCTAAAATCTGAATTTCATACCATTACACACAGCACCAGATATTCTCTTTATAAAAACAATTTTTGAAATGTAAAATATCATTCTTAGCTCATAGGCTGTACAAAAATGGATAGCAGTTCTGATTTGGCCCACAGACCATAGACTACAATCTCTGCTCTAAGGCCCTATTTGACTAAAAACTCTGGGGGCCAGGGACATATCTTAACACTATGTGCATCACTCACAAATAAGAAAAAAGTCCTCTCATCTGAAATTTACCAGAATATCCTATTCATGAGAATACACCTCTCTCTTTAAATTCTCAAGTACCCATTTGTGCCTCTACACCAGGAGTGGGAACGTCAATTATTTGGTCTGGCCCTGCCAAGGCATTAGGGGTGAGTTCATTAAATGTTTGACCAAGTATAGCAGGGTAATTTTTAAGTTGATAATTTTGTATGGCCTGCAAATGATGTTATAAATATCCAAGTGTCCCTTGGCAGAATAGAGGTTCCCCATCCCAGCTCTACACAGAGCTTATCACAAATCACCTTGCAGTCTACTCATCTGTTTCTTATCTCCCTGACTACATGGTTAGTCCTTGAAGACAGGTCTTAGTCATATTTACAAGCCCCCGTGTGCCCTATACAAAGTAAGTTAATCTGATAGTTTGTTATTCATTCACTTACTCAACATTTATTAAGCATCTCCAATGTTTAAGGCATTAAGCTGGGGGAACATTTAGATAAGTATCACAGGTGCCTGCCCTTACTGAGCTTATACTCTAATGGGAGAGGTATGTGTGTGTGAGTGTGCATGCCTACACATACATGCATACACAAGTGCACACATATATAAACAAATAATTAAAACTCTTCAGCATAGCCCAGCTGGTGTGGCTCAGTGGTTGAGCATCAACTGATTCCCAGTCAGGGCATACACCCAGGTTGTGGGCTCGATCCCCAAGTGTGGCAGCCAATCTATGATTCTCTGTCATGACTGATGTCTCTCTCTCCCTCGCCCTCTCCCCCTCCCCCTCTCCCTTCCTCTCTGAAATCAATAAAAAATAAATTAAAAAAAAAACTCTTCACCATAAACACTATAAAAAGAATGCAAGTGAGGTGCTAAGAGAGACCACTGAGGAAGGCCTATCTAACTCTACCTAAGAGGAGATAAGGAAGATATGACAGAAGATAAAATCTAACCAGGTTAAAAAGGTAAAAGAATGATCCAAGAAAATTACCCAGGCAAAAAACATTAAAAAAAAAAAAAAGCCATAGGAGGAAGAGAGAAAAGTAGCTGCAAATGCATAAAAGAAATCTGGGAATAGCAAAAAGCTTATGTGTTAGGAGGGTAAACTAGATGAGGGCAGGGATCCTATCTGTCTTACCAGGTACTAAATCCCCAGCATATAGAGACTGCCCAGCACACAATTTGTACTGAATAAAAACTAGGACAGTGGCTGACAGTAAATGAGTAAATATGTCAATTAGAGCACTGAGGCAGAAACACACTAAGTCCAGATTACCAATGATCCTTTAAAAAAAAAAAAAAAGGGGGCATGGAAAGTGGGAGTATAAATCGATAGGCACTTTTTGTAACGTGAGTTGCCAGTGTCAACTGTCAACATTCATTCATTTTGACCCAGAAATCCCACTTTTTGGCATCATGCACATGTTTATGGACACTCACTTCAGTATTCTCTGTAACAAAGGGAAAAATGTAAATAACAAAAATGTTCATTTATAAAGGAATGGCTAAATAAACTATAATAAACACTTTTTTTAATCCTCACCTGAGGCTGTATTTTTTACTGAGTTTAGAAAGAGAGGAAGAGGGCGAGAGACAGGAGAGACAGAGAGAAAGAGAAAAAAACATCAATGTAAGAGAAACATTGATCAGTTGCCTCCCGTATGCATCCCAATGGGGGATCAAACCCACAACCTAGGTATAAACCCTGACCAGGAATCAAACCCGCAACCTTCTGGTGTAGGGATGATGCTCCAACCAACTAAGCCACCTGACCAGGACTGTAGACATTTTAATGCGGCATTAAAAAGAAGATAGATCTGAATGAACTACATGGAAAAATTTCCAGAATATAATGTTGAGTAAAAATAAAGCAAACTGTAAAACAACAAAAACAAAAATAAAAGTCATGTGTTGTTAATCGGAAAAGTAATTTTTAAAAAAGATAGCTGACTGAGAGCTAAAAAGGAGGACAGAGATTAGAAATGAAAATTTTAGTTTAAAGGGATTATTGAAACAGTCCAGGAGAAAAATACACTGGGCTTGACCTTAAACAGTAAAACACTGGGGACAAAAAGCAGTATGGATTTGAAAAACATTTTTGGTAGTGAAGCAAACAGGGTTTTATAACTTATTAGACATAGAAAATATGGAGTGGAAAGGGTACAAATAACTCCAAGTTCAAGTTTGAGAAACTGAGTAAAAGAACAGGAGGGGAAGTAGAAGAAGATAGGAGTGATTTTGAGAAAAAGATAATGATATTTCCTGTTGAACATCTACCAATGTTCTATCTAATAGGTGCATGAAAGCTTAGAAGGAGACAGTGCTCAACAAATGTTTGTTGAAAACATTTATACCCTTAGCAATTAGGCTGCGGCATAAGGCCATTAACTTTAGGCAAGTACTGGGTTCCCTAGAGGGCTATCCATGGAAACATGGCTTATCTACAACCTCCTCTTAAGTTCTTGGTGACCATTCCCCAGAGCCCATTGTTGCTATCAACAACCTCAAATCTGCACACCAGTGGCAGTGGCAGTCAAGACCTGAGGAAAGACCAGAGGAGTCCATCATCATCAAACATGTCATAATTTCCATCATTATAAAGAATCTTGTGGTGAAAGCTGTGATCAAACCAAACGGTTTAATAGTGTGGATGAATGGGATGATGGAATAACAATCATTCGGATCAGATTTTCCTCTGGTGATATAGTTCCTAATTTACCCAGAAAACAGAGGTTATTGCCAATGTCAAAAGATGACTGTAGCCGAAACCGGTTTGGCTCAGTGGATAGAGCGTCGGCCTGCGGACTGAAAGGTCCCAGGTTCGATTCCGGTCAAGGGCATGTACCTGGGTTGCGGGCACATCCCCGGTGGGGGATGTGCAGGAGGCGGCTGGTCGATGTTTCTCTCTCATCGATGTTTCTGACTCTCTATCTCTCTCCCTTCCTCTCTGTAAAAAATCAATAAAATATATTAAAAAAAAAAAAAAAAAGATGACTGTAGATATTATCACTCTTCACAGCACTGAACAATAAAGCAATATAACTAATATTAGGGAGAGGTCAAAGAATCAGCAAATGCAAACTAATTTAATTTTTAAGCCTATTAAGATATGAAGGCATTCCTTGCTAAAATCTATAAAATTATATTTGGCAAGAATATATATATATATGTAATTGCTACAAGAATATAATGGGAGTCCTTGAATTCAAAGTCTTTAACAGAAGATATAGTTCTAATTTCTCTTATTCCAAAGACAGAATGATACTGTACTTAGATGGATCCTAGCAAGCTTTTTGAGCATGAACTAGTTGGTCACAGAAATTACATCTCCTGGCCTCATTCCAAGATCCTTCTTGGTTACGACAAACAACCTAGGCTCAGTCCCCAATGAACTGAAGCACATAGCGCTGACATGTCATTGCATTATGGGGCTCTGTGGGGTAATGTATGCTCTCTCCTTGGAGAAAAAGAATGAGGCAGTTCCTTGGGGCCTTGCAAACAGCACAAACCCCAGGCTGGGTCCTGATGCAATACTCCAGCCATTTGGGAAGCAACAACCTAAATGCTGAAGGGACCTTTGGAGATTGAACAGAGACCCCAACCTGAAACAACATGCCTAACCTTATATAGACAGGCTCTATCAGAGCACAGACTAGGAACCCAGGCCTGCTGACTTACTACTCAGTACTCTTCCAAGTCTTTATTTTCAGTGTTCATAGGCAAAGAACACATTATGATCCAGTGCCACTCTAAGAGTTTTCTTTGCACAATGTATGTTCTCGTGTAACTCCTAGCAAATTATTTCACTAATCTGTATCTCCAATTCTTTATCTAGAAGGAACACAAAATAATCATCTCAAAATAAATTGTATCTGTGTATGTATCTGTGAGTGTGTGTGGATGTGTTATCTCCAGCCCTTGCTTAACAGGACAGTAGTTTGGGTAAAATTTCCCCACATAAGGCATTCCTTCCTTTCACACTTTGTTATAAAATTGGAAATATATTCCTTTAGAGAGAAAAAAATACTTTGCTCAATGGAAATATATAAAATGACAGTAAAAAATACCATCAATCTTTTGAAAGTATATTATTAAAGTATATCAATTAAAGGAAATAAATTGATAAACCTTAGTAGTATGAAGATTCAAAATGTTAACTACTTTTAAGAAGCTATTGTCAAATAATGAAGACTAAACTACCAGCCTTTCTCTTCTTATTC